TTCCGCCGACGGCGATCGCACAGTATTGCACAGTGCTGTGCGCGAAGGGCGCAAGTATGCGATCTGTAATCACTATACGGACAGGAGTGCATAGTAACCGAGCGAGTACGAGTACATATAAAATAAGTTTATTTTAATGTATAACGAAATAACCGTACACGGCGGCGAACAATCGGGCGATCGAGCGGAAATCTTGAGGCGCCTTATTCGGCTTGTATGACGCGGACTTACAAGCGGAGATTTTGCGAAGCGTCTGACTTGACGCCCGAGCGACGTGGTCTTCGCTTTAGACCGGCGGACGTACGGTATCTCGCGATAAGCGGCGTTCGCGGACGTGACGTTCGCCGACGGCGCACGGAAAATGGATATAATTGCAAATCTTACAATACACGTCACAAAAATAATGCACGTTAAACGCGGGGAGTGCTCGATGTACCAGTAGGTACGCGATCGAGCATCGGACAGTGGCGTGCGACCCAGGCGCGAAGAACAGAGAGCAACTTTCCGAAATCGCAACCGAGTACAACGATGCAACCACGACGAAGTAATAGCACCGTGCGAACAGAAAACTTAGTGAAGATCGCGCTCGCTCGTTGAAATCGGAAGTAAAAGACCGCTCGGAAGAAAGAACAAATAAGCAGAGAGAGAAGAGAATCTTCGGTCTCAATTATATACTTTTTCAGCTCTAGCTGGCAGATAATGATTGGCTGTAACTCGTTGACTGTAACACGCCGTGATCATATGTTTGGGGTCTGCCCGGTATACACGGCTAACGCGGGAATAAACATTGTCTTGATGAGCTGGGGATCTCGCGGCCCAACGTTCGGCGACGAGATCTCCGCTAGTGCTGAGCACGCATCGATCACGCGCGAGCTTCGTGATATCGAAGCTAGAAGAATCTTTGGATTCTTCCAGAAACTATCATGTACACTATGACCCCGAACAGTGAAATCTTCTGTTTGCACGAAGAAAATTCATAAAATATATCTGTTTCACCGCGCTGAATGAGAAAATCCTCAGAACAATGTTATATTTAAAATGATGTACAGTGCATTAATAAATATGCCTAGTCTAGTAAAAAGGTAATTTATTTGCCTATTATAATATCTTCGAATGTATTCACTCGTTTGCGATACGGTTTTCTCATGTATTTTCGATGCAGTGTCGAACAGCACAACTGTAAATCCAATGAGCCTGTTTAAGAGAAATAAGTGGACCATTCCAAATAAGTGGCAGCGCTCTGAGTTCAGTGTTCAGTAGACCTCTCAATAAAAATATAATAATACTATGTTTGTATTTAAATGACACAAAGTTTAACGAATTGTTTGTGAAAAATCACCGTAAATAGATGAAAAACAGTGTACAGTTATAGCATACAGTTTAGGAAACCCACTCTTTGCCAGCAACGCGGATAGAATCAAGTTGGAAAAAGAGTAAATATTCTTCTTACGATGATACCAAAGTATGAAGCAAATGCATTATGCATGTAGTACTGCAGTGGTATTGTGCATGCATCAAGAATGAAAAACTATTAATAAAGTAATTATTAGTAATTAGGTAAGTAATCAGTGTTTAAAATCGATGGAAACCGCGAGAAGGTGGTGGTTTCTTCCATCAGGAGAAAATGATAAACAAATATCGAATAAGTCACTTATGAAATGGAATTATTTGACACTGGTTCCTAAGGAATGGTAGGATATAAGGAAAGGAAGAAGCAAACATAAAGGGAATAGTAATGTCATGCAAGCGTCATGCAGACAAAACATACAAACAAAGAAAATGCGATATTAAAATACACAAAAGATATTACAGCTACTGTATTTACAGTTGCAATAATGCATGCATTTGCACAATGTTTTTATGAAAAGTCTTTCACACAGTGGAAGGCGAGATTTAACGCGTAAATTTGCCTTTCTCTGTCAACACCAAGTATCAGTGACATGTCATCTATTTTAAAATATCACATTCAATCATGTAAATACTATATAACACATGGTGTTATGTAGCATTTACATAATTGAGAGTGACATTCTAACATAGATGGTATGTAAATGATACTTGTGGTTTATTGTGTTAACTTGCACAAATGGGATGTGTAAATAATAACACCCAAAACTATACATAGAATGGGAGAACAAAATCTTCACAGGCAAACTTTGGTGAATACGTATCAGGATATTTTAAAGGATTTGTCCAGACGACGTTGTTCTGCGTCATGTATTCCCAGTTCAGTCTTCTAGTGCAACCTCACGCGAAGCAACGCTCACGTTTTAATACAGAATGCACTCTATAACTGAAAAATTTCTCTAGAATATTATGTGCAGTTTCTCAGTACAATTATACTCAGCTTCCACCCAGCAAACACAGAATATAACTGTTATATAACATAAGAGTAACATGTAATATAATATATATTATACTCTATTATACAGGATGAAGAAAAAATCCCAAGACCCCTGAAAATTTCGAAAAATATACACTTTATAAAAAAATATTTCAGACAAAAGTTGTAGCGTTGGAAAAGATCTATTTACCGATCTTAACAATTTGACCTTAGGTGGCGTCATCAAGGCCAGGACAAAGTCACCTCGGATTTTTTAAATGGAACTCCCAATTTTTTATTGCATATTCTTATAGGCCTTCTTCAGACCTTTCCAAAGCACTATGGTTTTATCCAATTTGAATAAGCTGTTCCGAAGTTATCGAGTTTTTTAAAGTAAGATATCTAGCCAACTAAGGCAAGATCGGAGGATGATCCAGTCAACTAAAGCAAGATCGTAGGATGATCCGGCCAACTAAGGCAAGATCATAGGATGATCCGGCCAACTAAGGCAAGATCGTAGGATGATCCGGCCAACTAAGGCAAGGTCGGGAGTTGTCCGGCCAACTAAGGCAATACTGGAAAGCTTTAAAGTAATTGTTCAAAATGTCCGCCATCAACAGTTTGACAATAAGCTAATCTATCGTAAAAAGATGAAACGGCTTTTTGAATGTAATCAGCAGGGATGAGAGCAGCTTTTTCAAGAATTCGATTTCGTAAGTCATCCAAATTTTGTGGTTCCGTTTTGTAAACTCTATCTTTTAAATGGCCCCACAGGAAGTAATTGTTAGATGATAAATCGGGTGATCGAGGAGGCCATTCTATAGGTCCTTTTCTACCTATCCATCGATGAGGAAACACTGTGTCCAAATAATTACGGACGTCCCTTCCGTAATGTGGGGGGCACCATCTTGTTGGAACCACCCCAAGGAGAACAGAGAAGTCAAAATAACGTCAAAATGATGTCAAGATATGGTCAAAATTTAGTTCATCAAAATGACGTCAAAGTGCATAAAATTTTGATGTTTTCTTGACGTTATATTTATGTCACTATGACATAATTTTGATGCTTTTTTGACTATTCTAATTATTATTGGCATGATTGGTGCATTAAAATAGTAATTAATTATCATTATATTTAACTGTTTAATACATTTATTATCAATGCCTATTAACTCAAGGAGAATAGTTAGTTTAAAATAATGTCAGTTTCATGTCATTTTTTGATAAAAATAATATCAAATTGACTTTATTTTTACTTTTCTGTTCTCCTTGAGAATATAATATACATATACATACACATATGTTATTGCACAGTAATGTAATCTAAATGTAATATATAAAGCTAAGTAAATCTTCTTTTAATATAAGGAACATATTTAACTTTAAAGAACCAAACACAAATTCAAAATAAAATATAAGAATATATCAGGTGTAGTAAAAAGAAATCCATTATTTTTCCAATAGATGGCTTTAGTTCTCTGTATCTCGCGTTGTATAAGTCCGATCGGGTTCCACTAGATGGCGTTAGAAAGAGATTTCGTACTAAAAGAACTTTTCTGACAGTTTTGTGATTAGTTGACTCAGTTTTGTTTGAGCGCGCGTCAAAGATGGACACTAGCAAAGAGAAAATACGCTATATTTTACAGTTTTTCTTCATAAAGGCGAAAACGCAAGCCAGGCGGCTGAAAATGTGAATAGTGTTTATGGTCCTGATACTGTAACAGCCAATCACGCGCAATTTTGGTTTCGTCGATTCTGTTCCGGTAATTTCGATGTCAAAGATGCACCATGCACTGGAAGGCCAATTGTCGAAAATATCGATAAAATCATGGACATTGTCGAGTCCGACCGTCATGTAAGCACTGTTTCGATTGCCCAAGAGCTAAAGATTGCACAAAAACCGTTTGGAATCATTTGAATAAGGCTGGATACAAAAAGAAGCTCGATGTATGGGTGCCACAAGAGTTAACGAAAAAAAAACCTCATGGACCGAATTTCCATCTGCGAATCGCTGCTGAATCGCAACAAAATCGACCCATTTCTGAAGCGGTTGGTCACTGGTGATGAAAAGTGGATCACTTACGACAACGTCAAGCGAAAACGATCGTGGTCGAATCGCGGTGAGCCGGCGGAAACGGTGGCCAAGCCAGGATTGACGGCCAGGAAGGTTTTGCTGTGTGTTTGGTGGGATTGGCAGGGAATTATGTACTATGAGCTGCTCCCCTATGGCAAAACTCTTAACTCGGAACTGTACTATCAACAATTGGACCGTCTGAAGGAAGCAATCGCCCAGAAGCGGCCAGCTTTGGCCAATACGAAAGGAATTGTGTTCCATCAGGACAACGCCAGGCCACACACATCGATAGTGACTCGCCAGAAGCTCCGGGAGCTTGGTTGGGAGGTTTTTATGCATCCACCTTATAGTCCGGACCTGGCACCAAGTGATTACCATCTGTTCCTGTCCATGGCGAACAATTATGCTGGTAAAAAATTCGCTTCAAGAGAAGCTTGTGAAAATCGACTGTCTCAATTTTTTGCCAATAGAGACGAAGGCTTCTATGAGAGAGGCATAATGAAATTACCTTCAAAATGGCAACAAGTTATCGAACAAAACGGCGCATATTTGACCTAAATCGGATCATTCTAACTATGGTAATTAAAGCCTTCAATTTCATGCAAAAATAATGGATTTCTTTTTACTATACCTGATATTGTAGATAATAACACTTAATTTCAAAGAAAATATACGAAAAATTATGTTGATTTCTTTATTTACGTTGGCCAGAAGTATTCAACCAGCGCTTTATGGAATCTTCAGTATGCTTCAACGATTGATTTTGAAAACGGCTCATTATGGCACCTAAAAAAAGACGAAATTAAGTTATTTTTTCGGAAGCGCCCCAGATGCGCACAGAATAAAACGGACACAGCAGGTTGAATGAAACAGACACAGTGACAAACGGATACAGTAAGAAAAGGACACAGTAAGAAACGGACACAGTAGGAAACGGACACATGATGGTTGCAATCGGACACAGTAGGAAACGGACACACGGTGGTTGCAATCGGACACCGTGAGAAACGGACACAGTAAGAAACGGACACAGTGAGAATCGGACACAGTAAAAAATGGACACAGTATCAAACGGACACAGTAGGAAACGGACATACCGTGGTTGCAATCGGACACAGTAAGAAACGGACACAGTAGGAAACGGACACACGGTGGTTGCAATCGGACACAGTGAGAAACGGACACAGTAAGAAACGGACACAGTGACAATCGGACACAGTAACAAACGGACACAGTAGGAAACGGACACACGGTGATTGCAATCGGACACAGTGAGAAACGGACACTATGAGAAACGGACACAGTAAGAAATGGACACAGTGAGAAACGGACACAGTGAAAAACGGATACAGTAAGAAACGGACACAGTGAGAATCGGACACAGAAAAATGGACACAACATGAAACGGACACAGCATGAAACGGACACACTGTGGTTGCAATCGGAGACAGTAAGAAACGGACACAATGACAATCGGACACAGTAACAAACGGACACAATAGAAAACGGACACAGACGGAAACAAAAGTTGTTAAAATTAATTGCTATAAAAAGAAGATATAATAAAAAATTGGACTTTCTATTTTGAAAAATTAAGTTGACCTTCAACTGACCTTGAAAATGCCCTCCAAATAAAAAACTGATAATGCCATTCTCTTTCCCCTTCGAAATCATAGAAAACGTATTTTAGTTTTTTCAATATCTTTCATAGTTTTCAAAATTTTTTATCTGTTACGTTTGAAATTTAGCATCCTGTATAAGATGAATATTAGGTCCCGTCAAAAAAGAATTATTCTCTAATATTAGTTGAATACACAAGCACACACACATGTATATATATATATATAAATATATATATATATAACGTTATATTAAAATATTTTTCAAGGTTACCCATTGAACAATTTTTGCGAATATTTATCGGAATATCTAAAAACATTCTACATCAAGAACACGTACATATGCAAGGTTAGTATTAACAATAATTTTTATATTTTACTAACAATTATTTTTTAAAGAGATAACTATCTTTATCATGCTCTAGAGAAGGAAAATGTATTAGACATATCTTTGCAAAATGAAAATGACAAAAATTATGAAGAGGAATTATTTGTCGGACTACCTGAAACTGTTTGTTATGAACAACATATAAATATGCAAAGTTAGTATTAACTGTATTATGTATGTCTGACTTACATTCTTATTAACTTGACTTATCACGCTTCAGGAAACGAAAATATTCCAAATATATCTTTGATAGACAATACTGGAAAAAATTGTGAAGAAAAAATACAAGTTACTACAGATCCCAAAGATATCCCAATAAATCTATTAGAACCTAGGATTACCCTAATGAAGCTCACACATCAAGACTGCGAAAAATATTTTAAGAATAGTCAGCAATCATTAGCGTTTATTGAAAATACTATTCCATCAAAAGTAAGTATACATTGAAACGTTACTCATTATCGACAGATATAATATTTACACATTGAAACATTTACATAATGTTCCAGATTACACGAAAACGGAAAGCACGTCAACCTTGCAGTCGTTGCAGATAAAAATAACCATATATATTTTAAGATATACGTTATATTTTAGTATGCGTGCTTCCTACTGTTCTTTTGTTGGCTTGTTATGTAATTATTATGTAATTATGTAACACACATTGTTTCGGAAATGTTTATAATACATATTATTAAAGAAAATAACTTTGAATATTAGTATATAAGTAATTTTTATATAATTCACCTTAAAGTATTGTGAGAAATTAGCAGTAAATACTTTCAACCTAATCTTGCATACAGCCTTAGTCTACAACACATTTCAGTACGTAATGCTTAACATATATAATACTGTTATATTGGCAACAAATCGACTGTCTTAGAATATGTGTGCGATAAATGTCATAAAAAATATGTATTAAAAAAGATGCTGACAATTCTAAATATTTTTATACACTTCAAATAAAAGTAAGACATGCTTATGGCATATATATTTTGTACACCGATGAAATTTGTGCTTTGCAAATTGAACAAGTTTTATCATCATCACTACCTTGCATGATTTAACTAGAATAATCTGCACAAGTGCAGAAGTGACCGCACAGTATGAAAAGATGAGTTGATTCAGTAATAATACACATAAATAATGCACGTACGATCAGATTTTACTTTTTCTTCACTTTTTTCGCACCCCGTTTCCTATTGTGTCCGTTTCCTACTGTGTCCGTTTTTTATTGTGTCCGTTTGTTACTGTGTCCGATTGTCATTGTGTCCGTTTCTTCCTATGTCCGTTTCTTACTGTCTCCGATTGCAACCACAGTGTGTCCGTTTCCTGCTGTGTCCGTTTCATGTTGTATCCATTTTTCTGTGTCCGATCTCACTGTGTCCGTTTCTCACTGTGTCCGATTGCAACCACCGTGTATCCGTTTCTTACTGTGTCCGTTTCTTAGTGTGTCCGTTTCTCACTGTGTCCGATTGCAACCACAATGTGTCCGTTTCATGCTGTGTCCGTTTCATGTTGTGTCCATTTTTCTGTGTCCGATTCTCACTGTGTCCGTTTCTTACTGTGTCCGTTTCCTACTGTGTCCGTTTGATACTGTGTCCGAATGTCACTGTGTCCGTTTCTCACGGTGTCCGATTGCAACCACCGTATGTCCGTTTCCTACTGTGTCCGATTGTCACTGTGTCCGATTGCAACCATCATGTGTCCGTTTCCTACTCTGTCCGTTTGTTACTGTGTCCGGTTATCACTATGTCCGTTTCTTACTGTGTCCTTTTCTTACTGTGTCTGTTTGTCATTGTGTCTGTTTCATTCAACCTGCTGTGTCCGTTTTATTCTGTGCGCATCTGGGACTCACTCATTTTTTCACTTCTAGTTAGTCACCTTGCACGATAACCTTAATGTGACTTAAAATAAGCAGACCGAGTTTTACATAATGCTTTCCGTTATAACTTAATAACCAGATATCGCATGAAATGAATGAAACATTAACTGTATTAACCAAAGTGGAAATTAAAGATAAAAACTGTACTTTTTAGTAAACATACTAATAGTAAAATTTATTTTTTGCGAAGTTGCGTTCACCTAAATACTATAAAAATTTTTCTTTATAGAAAAAAGAAACGCAGGATAATTAATCACCATAATCATATTGAATTGTGACATTAAAAGTGAGAAATTCCATGAGTTTTCGTAACAATTAACAATTTCTTGGATTTACTGAAATAATTAGATTTGTACTACTTATATACCATAATTTAATGTTAATAAAATATGGCGAAGATGGTTTTTTTATGCTTTTCTTAATTTTGTTTTTCTATATGTAATTATAATGCAATACATGGTTTAATTCTTCATAAGAGAGAGAGAGAGAGAGAGAGAGAGAGAGAGAGAGAGAGAGAGAGAGAGAGAGAGAGAGAGAGAGAGAGAGAGAGAGAGAGAGAGAGAGAGAGAAAGAGAGAGAGAAAGAGGGAGAAAGAGAGAGAAAGAGAGAGAGAGAGAGAGAGAAAGGGGCGAATTTTGAGAATAAAAAAACATAAGCACACTATAAAGACATTTACAAAACAAAGCCTCCTTAATCTGTGTTGCATAGAAAGAGATTTTCACTCCTCCAGTTCCTTTCCAGCTAATTAGTCTTGCAAGATCATTGTGCAATATGATGGACATAAGAGAAGTAGCAGCACTCCATTCATCAGGACCATCAACAATATGTGCATGTAGATAGCTGACCTTCAAAACGCAAAAATGTTAATTATAACTATTTCAAATGAAGCAGATTTGAATCGTTCTATGAATAATTCTTAAATTCTGTAACCTGTTATTGTAGTTAATGACAGTTTCCTTATTGTTGCGCAACTTTTCCCTACCATAAAAAAGTTGCGCAATAACGAAACTATCGTTAACTGCAATTACGAGATCGATATTCATATAGTCGGGTTTTACATACACAGTCTGTCCCAGATCCAATGAGACTGGTCTAAAAAAATACAAAGCGTTGATTATTTTGATTTTTTATTCTTGTTTATTCAAAATAGTCTTCTCCTGAGTCAATACAGCGCTGGAAACGCTCAACAAATTTTTCGAAACATTTTTTACACTCATCGGCTGGAATCGCCTTTATAACGGTCTAACGGTATAACGGTCGAAGTCTTTTGGATGACCGGGATGGTATCGAAACGATTTCCTTTCATCGCCAATTTCAGTTTGGGAAATAGCCAGAAGTCGCACGGAGCCAAATCAGGTGAATACGGCGGATGATCGATAACAATAATGCCTTTTTTGATCAAGAATTCACATACCATGATGGCTTTGTGCGATGGTGCATTATCGTGCAACAAAAACCAACTGCCTGGCTCTCGATATTCCGGTCGAACTCGTCGAATTCTGGCCCACAATCGTTGTAGAACTCCCAGATAATATCTGGGCAGACACACAGCGGTCGTTTCGAAGAATTTCTTTGACTTTCTCGATGTTTTCTTCATTGCAAGTGGTTATTGGCGGCGGTGCTCGGTCATTGTCTGCAAGGTCCTCACGACCGTCACGGAATCGGCCAAACCAACGGAAAACCTGTGCACGGGACATGCATTCATCCCCGTACACATTTTTTAGCGTTTCGTACGTTTCTGCACCACTTTTACCCAATTTAAAAGTTGGTTTTTCGACCGACGTACACAAAGTGAATTTACATAAAATATCAAACCACAGTGAAATATCAACCGAATTCGCTCAAATTTTGAGGTTAAGTAGATGAAGGGTAGAACATTAACCTACCATCATTCACTCATAGATATCGCTGCGCTAAGAACTTTGATGGAACCAGTCTCATCGTATCTGGGACAGACTGTGTATATTTAAGATTGCCTTAAGATTAGTTTTAAAATTCCATTCAACCAATAAAATAGCAAGAGAAACATTTTAAGACTGATCTTGAGACGATCTTATTTCAACGCAGCGGATGACGTTTTCCAACAATCCAAAGAGATTAGCTGTACTTACAAACTGAGAGTACGCAATTTTATTCTTCAAAAGTTCGTTGAACTCTGAAATTCTTCAAATGACTTCTCATCTCGTAGTGGAAGAGGAGGACAATTTTCGGGTTCTTCTACAATAGCTTCACCAGGAAATATTTCATTTAAGATGCAACGTTCGATCATCAGCAATATATCCAGTTTACTTGATATATCTCGAAGCAAATCTCTATCAAGATTAGATACGACCGGTCCTACGGACATATTAATTAATGATTAGAAAGTTAGTATGCATGAAACATACAAGGATTGTTCAAAAAGTAATGTCCCACATTTTTTTCTCAGAATGTATTTATTCAAAATGGTTGAAAATATTAATAAATGTTTTTTTCACATACTATTTTTTGACATAGTCTTCATCAAATTGTATAGTCTTACGCCAATGTTACGAAGAAAAACCGGTACCGAAAAGGAATTGAACATTTCTTCAACGCTGGCATAAGGCCATACAAGTTGATGGAGATTATTTCGAAAAATAGTGTGTGTAAAAGAAATATTTATTTATATATTTTCATCAAATTTCAATCATTTTGAATAAATATGTTCTGAAAAAAATGTTAGGTATTACTTTTTAAACAACTCTTATATATATTGCAGTTATATAAATTAGAATAAAGGAAATTATTACCATGAAGCTTCTTAAAATGGTTTAATGTTGTTGTCAGTAAATCGCATTCTGTATTTGATAAACCTAATAAACGTATAACATATTAGAAAAAATAATATTTATGAAAACTACTCCTGAAACGTGAGATTGTTGAGAAAATTAAATTACCTTGGGATGTGGTGAATTTGGAGATGCTTGATTTTTCTCATTATCTACTGACATTAAAGTCTTTTTTTTTTTTTTGTAAAACATCATCTTCATTTTCATCTTGTAGAGTTTCGCAGTTCATTGTATCAGATAAATTTTTTTTATGTTCATTGTTCCTATCATCTGAATTAACATTAGAATTGTTATTTTATTTCCAATATTGATTGCATAAAATATAATAAAAATATGAACATATTCACATTTATATAATTATAATTTTATTTAAAGAGAGGAACTATGCAGCTGAGAGAGAGAGAGAGAGAGAGAGAAAGAGAGAGAGACAGAGAGTGAGTGTCTTTTCCCGCGTGCGCGTGTCAAAGAGAGAAAGGCATAACATCTGCCATATATTTTTTTTTTTAATGCAAGATAATGTACTGAAGAAAGTATAACAGAAAAAATGTGAAATTATTTACATTCATCAAAGAGAGATGACTTTGCTTTGTTATTTGGGGAAGCATTTAGTTTCCTCCTAAAGAGATTCTGCTCCATATGTACAGGCAGTGTGCTCATGGACATTGTAGAACTATTTGATCTTGATGTAGTAGGTTGTTCATCATCATCTGTACTCAATTGAGGAGACAAGTACTTTGGAGAAGCTATAACCGTCCACAAAATAAATTATACAAAAGCTTGCAGGAATAAAATCATCTATAATTAATATAAAAATATCGTTATTACTTGAAAATGACAACTTACTATTAGGAAAATTAAGATAGTTCTCTTTATCTAAATGTTGAGAGATGCTATGCAATTTTCTAAGAGGTTTTGTCTTGTTTGACTGCAGTGGTTCTACGATCACTTTGTCCGATACTTCTGTATTACAACCCAGTAAGCAAAATGCTAGCAGAATGCGCGCAGATTGACGCCAATTTCGATCAGATCTCCATATCAAAACCATAGCCATCTGTGTCCTCATTAGGCTCGTGTTTTGTCGACAGGACCTGTGTGACAGGCCGTGCGAGCAGATTGTCAGCAGAAACCGCGCAGGTCCTGCTGCCAAACTACGCGTAGAGTCTGCGCGCAGAGTTTGCTCGGTTTCTGCCGCCAATCTGCCATCAAATTACTGCAAGTCTTGCGCGGCTTTTGGTACAAATCTGCCGTCAAATATCCGACAGCAGGATCTGGCGCATATTTGACCGCAGATTGGCAGCATAATTTGATATGACAGATTCTGCGTTAAATCTGTTGCCTATTTGCCATCAAACTATGATAGCAGGCTTTGTTCGAAATCTGCTCGTGCAGGTTTGGCTATCTGGAAATCTTTAGGAGAACAATATTTTTGTTGTACAGCTAAAATTATAAAAAGACTATAAAATTGTACAATTACGAAAAAGATGAAACAGATTGTTATTAAATTTAACTCTAAAAGCACATAAATAATTATTATTTATGAATATACATGTACATACTCTCATTTAGTAAAGAATGCTGCTTTATCGGATTTTCCTCTAATGTAATGTTATGGTAAGTTAACTTTAAATGGCCTGATGACTTAACACTTGATTCATTACAAGATAATGATTTTCCTATAGATGTGTCTTTTTCTATTGACTGTTTAGTAGATATTTTCACTGATTTATTTTTAATAAGTTCTTTGAATTTATTTGGAAGAGAATTTGGAGCAGGTACTCTTTCACTGCTTGTACCACGAGGGATATGTAATGCAGGATTGTCTAATTCTTCATCTTCTGAAGAGGATATATATTTTTTGTTCTTTTTTTCTTTCTTGGTTGGTCATAATCTGTTTCCACATCTGTCCGAGCAACTTCTCCCTCTAGAACAGTTTTAGCCGCTTTGAGAGCAGCATTGTAAGTATCTACAAGTAAGAAAGTAAAATATAACATAGATACACATGATACTAAAACTTATTTGTTAATATAATAAAGTGCAATTATATTTTAGGTATATCGGCATTGAAATAACTCTGTATTTAAAAATAAAATATATGGTAATATATCTGAAAAAGTTATGAAATTACTATAATAATGATGCAATCGAAGATTATAAATATCCCAATCTTGTCCTGGGTCGATTCTTGACAGAATCAAACGGGTAGTTTTAAGTTTATCTTTTTTAGGTGGATATTTGCACATAGTACTGTTATCAAAGAGCCATTTAGAAGGAATTACTCCTATTAGTATCTCAGATTCGCCATATAAATCATTAAATTCCACAAGTGCAAACTGAAAAGAAAAATAAAACATTAGCCTACAAGATAATATAATTTGTATAATAAAATAAAAAAAAATATAGAATTTGTTCTTACTAGCATTTTAATAATTATTGCAGTGTACAAAAGGAATGCATACAAATGTTTCGTTATTGTCCGGAAAAAGAACGCATTTGCAAAAAGAATTTTTAATTTTATAAACAGTTCTTTCGCTTTCTAGATGAGAAACTTTAACAATTCTGAAGATGCAATAGGAAAATTATAATAATCTTCTTGTTCTAAAAACCTATATCCCAGTAGGAAAATATCATTTTGAGGTGTTCGGATGATCATATTCAAGATTAAAATTTTTCCACATTTAGTTTTAAAGCAGCTATTTGTGTTTACATTTCTCTAATATAGAAAATATTATATTTAATATTGTATTAAATATTTGAGATCAAGTATAACCTAAAATATAACCTAAAAATATGACCAAATATTTTATTAAAAATAGATTGTAATGATGAAAAGAGATGTGTCACAAGGAACAAGTACGTAAAGAAAGAGATAATAGTATTAAGTTAAATTTTATTGTGCAACCCAATGATTACCAGAAAAACTAATATAAATGTAAATCGAGATTCACTTACCTCTCTCTTCTTTAACTCTTTCGTCATTTTCATATTTTTTTTATATTATTCTCTTCTCTTATATTTTTCCTAATAGAATCACATTTTTTTTGCAACACCAGTCATTTTCACACTTTACTCAGGCTTGATAAACTCTTATGGGAAAATTCTGAACAGTGTTTTAACACCATCTAAAAGATAGCCCCCAGGAAATGTGAACTATGATGCCAAAAATTCAATATGGCGCCTGTTATAAGACTGGTGCGTGTATATGTCACTTATGTTCGCTGAACGCAGCCAACTATATTTCTACAATAAATATTTGAACGTTGTTTAACACTTCTTGTAATTAAAGGAATTTTTTTTGTGTGGTCATCGTCGCTCGCTCCAAACTACCATATATACGGTGAAGGTAAAGACATATTAACACGCTTGTTATTTAGACGTAAGTATTTGTTACGTTACTTTTTATTTGTAGCATCGAAAATGTTTTCAGCGTACGTTGCGTCATAGATTTTAAAAGAACGTCCCTCTAAGATATTTGAGCATAGATATGGGGAGGACATGTTGTGTTCCTGGATGCAAGTCTGGGAAAGAAGTGCCTTCACATCGATTTCCCAAAGATCCTGAAAGATGCTCAAAATGGGTACAAAGTTTGAAATTGAAACATTTAGAAAATTATCCAAGCAATGAGATACAAAAAAATAAAGTGTGCCATAAACATTTTCGTCCAGAAGACTATAGTTCATGTTTGCATAAACGTGTTTTATTAAATGTTGCGGTTCCTATATTGTTTATACATAATAGTATAGATGCTTGGTGTACACATATCAACAACATTTTATGTAAAAAAATAACAACAGATAGCGATAATTATATGTATAAAGCAGCAATGCGAATATCAACAAAATATGCAAAAAAAACAGTGAAAAAAAATAAAATAAAGAATGAGTATACATTGTTTTAAATTGTTTATTTTTTTTAAATTGCTTTTTAGTTATTCATTTTGTTCCAAATCCAATAAATTGATTAAAATTTAAATATAAAATTAAATATACTAAAACGAATAAGAGCTCATCTTTATCGATCGGTAAGTTACTTTGCTACGTAGTTCATATATTATTGGGGGTCATCTTTTAGATGGCGTTAAAACACTGGTCAGAAATTTTACATGGAAGTTTAACAACCCTAACTTTACTGCCTTCAGTGAATGTAAAGCCAGCGGCATACGGTGCTTGTTTTCGTGCTGGATTGCTTGCTGGATGATAATACTGCGGTCTGATTGGTGCATTTCCATCCATCTTCGGAAATGTACCAATCACAACGCAATATTTTCATCCAGCAAGCAATCCAGCGCGAAAACAAGCACTGTGTGCCGCTGGCTTAAGTGTAGTTAGCTTGCGAACAAGTGAAAATAAAGCCAACGGCACACGGTGCTTGTTTTCGTGCTGGATTGCTTGCTGGGTGAAAATATTGCGTTCTGATTAGTGCATTTCCATCCATCTTCGGAAAAGTACCAATCAGAACGCAGTATTTTCATCCAGCGAGCAATCCAGCACGAAAACAAACACCGTGTGCCACTGGTTTAACAGACCATATATACATGTCATATGTATTCGAATACCATTGGACCGTGGCGTACGAACTTAACTAATAAGATGTAAACAATAAGCGAATCAACAAATTATCATCAATTATTCTTATAGTCGAAAAATTTGACTCTGATCGACCAATTTTCTTAGTACTCAGCAAGAAATGAATATTGTATCGAAATCCGATTCAACGTTCACTAGAATATTTAGAGCCGATATTCATAGTCTGATCTTATATTTTAGTTTGAATTTCATCTTCCAATTCTGTACGGTTCATTTTATTGATTACACAATAACTGAAGATGAATTTAAAACGATCTTAGATAATATCCAATAAGGAAAACAGTTAAGCCAGCGGCACACGATGCTTATTGTTTTTGTGCTGGATTGCTTGCTGGATGAAAATACTGCGGTTTGATTGGTGCATTTCCATCCATCTTCGGAAATGTACCAATCACAACGCAATATTTTCATCCAGCAAGCAATCCAGCACGAAAACAAGCACCGTGTGCCGTGGCTTAAGAAAAAAGATTCAAAATTTTATATTATTTTAATCAGCAACTCAGAGCAACACTCTTTTGAACACAAATATTTAAGAATACAATTGTATCTGAATGGTCAAACTTTAACCTTTTTCTGACTATTGTTATATCATACATTTTCATAATAATACGCACATATATATAACTAAAAAAATATGCCGCAATATCTGAAACTTAAAAAAACTCAATAAAATGAGAAATCAATATAAAGTCAATTTTAAGTCATATGAGATTGAGATTTTATTCATGACCAAATATTGACGTAAATGTGGTCAAAATGACGTCAAATTGACTTCATTTTGACTTTTCTTTTCTCCTTGGGATGTAGGCTCGAAGTTGTCATCCATGATTGCTTGTATCGCTGGAACTATTTCGTTTCTTAGCATATTCTCATATTTTATCGCTGTTAGATTTCCGTTAATAAAGAGTAGACCTATGAGAACATTATTCAAAATGCCTACCCAAACATTCACTTTTTGTGGATACTGCGTGTGTGTTTCTTCAATCCAGTGAGGATTTGTATCTGACCAAAATCTACAATTGTGTCGATTAACATGGCCATTTAACTGAAATGTTGCCTCATCTGAAAATACTACATTTGATAGATAGTTAGGATCTTCGGCTATTTTTTCCATCATCAAATCACAAAATTCAATGCGTCTATCAAAATCATCTTCATTTAGCTCTTGTACAAGATGGATCTTATAAGGATGAAATTTATTCATTTTCAATATTTTAAGCACAGACATTTGATCTATTTCATGTTGCTGTCCTACTTTGCGAGTCGAATCATGCGGATTTTCGATAAAGGATTGTAGAACATCTAATGATTTTTCTACACTTATTGCTGATACTGGCCTACCTGCTATTGCACGATTTTTCACACTTCCAGTTTCCTGAAAACGCCTTATCATTCTTTCAATAGTAGATTTTGAAATAGCATCACCCTGATTACGAAAAGTTTCATTAAAAAGTCGCCTCACATCATTGTACAACCTTAGTCGATCATCCCATCCTCTCATCATCAAAAGAGATATGCGTTCTCGTTCTGAAAGACTTGCCATATTGATAAGCAGAAGTGGTAAGATTTATTCTAATCGATTAAATTAATATTTGGATCAATTAAAAGTTATTCTAAAGACAGTGCTGAAGAATAATAATGAGCACGGAATGAAGTGCAATTAAGTCAGCTTACAACTAGCTTCAAACTGTTTCTTAATAATTTTCAAAAAAATAGAGGAATTTCAGTCGAGTTTGCGATTCACTAAACTGTAATGAGTATTAAATGAGTAAATGGAAGAAATAAACATCGAACAGCAGAATAGTTCAAATAAATAAATAACTGAAATAAATCAATCAACGAAATTAAGACAAGCCAATAGGAGCCAACGCCTGGAAGTTAATCGCGCAATTATTTTTACGAGTTGGCTGGATCATCCTCCGATCTTGTCTTAGTTGGCTCGATCACTCCAACCTTGCTTTAGTTGGCCGGATCATCCTCCGATCTTGCCTTAGTTGGCTAGATATCTTACTTTAAAAAACTCGATAACTTCGGAATAGCTTATTCAAATTGAATGAAACTATAGCTTTGAAAGGGTCTGAAGAAGGGCTATAAGAATATGCAATAAAAAATTGGGGGTTCCATTTAAAAAATCCGAGGTGACTTTGTCCTGACCTTGATGACGTCACCCAAGGTCAAATTGTTAAGATTGGTAAATAAATCTTTTCCAACGCTATAACTTTTGTCTGAAACATTTTTTTATAAATTGTATATTTTTCGAAATTTTCAGGGGTCCCGGGGTTTTTTCTTCACCCTATATATATATCCCAGACAGCACGGATGTCCATTGGACGTCCATTATATGTCCATTTTTTTTTTTACAAAAGACGTCCATAGGACATACGTTTGTCACAACTTCAGACATAGGACGTCCGATGGATGTACATCGGACGTCCTACAGGTTCGATATCCAACAAGGACATCCTTGTTACGTCCAATTTATGTCCACGGACGTAAATTGGACATACAGACATAAATTGGACGTGAAACGTACATCCATTGGATGTCCGGCGCTGTCTGAGATAGTTACCCAGACAGCACACGGATATCTATTGGACGTCCGTTATATGTCCATTTTTTTACAAAAGACGTCTATAAGACGTACGTTTGTCACAACTTCGGATATAGGACGTCCGATGGACGTACATCGGACCTCCTACAGGTCCGATGTCCAATAAGGACATCCTTGTTCCAATTTATGTCCACGGACGTAAATCGGACATACGGACATAAATTGGACGTGAAACGTACATCCATTGGATGTCCGGTGCTGACTGAGATTGCTCACTGGATGAAAATACTGCGTTCTGATTGGCGCATTTCCATCCATCTTCGGAAATGTACTACATGTAATCTGTTTTCAATTATTATAAAAACTTATTATTTCCCAAACGTTAAAAACATTACAAACGTGTTTCCCAAATAATTTTACGTTAATTAAAAGTTAAAAAAATTTTTCTTTTATTATGTCTGCTAACTTAACGCTTAATTAATTTTTATTAATTACTAATAAATTATTAATTACTAATAAACTATTATTGATAATTATTTAGAAAATGGACCTTACCTTGGATTTCGCTCAAACTCATCTGTCTTATGTATTTTGACGTGTAGAAGCCGAATCTGCAAGTAAAAATTACCGCTCGACTCTAGTTTGCGAGAAATAAATTGTTGAAAAATGACACATGCGAGGTTAGAAAATCTATCATGCCGGTAATACAGAGACTTATGGTCTGTTTTTTTAGTCGGAAAGTGTAAATTAGTACATGTAAGCGGGGGAGGGGCGAAATCCTTTCCCTAAAGACATTTTCATATATTATATAAACATATGAATTTTTAGCTCATGTATCAGTGGTTATTTTTGTTGTATAATAACCATTGATACATGAGCTAAAAATTCATATGTTTAATATATGAAAATGTCTTTGGGGAGAGGGTTTCGCCCCTCCGCCGCTTACATATACTATTTTACACTTTCCGACTAAAAAGAACAGACCATAAGTCTCTATATTACCGGCATGACAGATTTCTTAACGTCCCATGTCATTTTTTAACATGTCATTTTTTAACAATTTATTTCTCGCAAACTAGAGTCGAGCGGCAATTTTTACTTGCAGATTCGGCTTCTACACGTCAAAATACATAAGACAGGTGAGTTTGAGCGAAATCCAAGGTGAGGCCCGTCTTTTAAATAATTACCAATAAGGTAAGTAAGGATACAAAAAAAATTAGAAAATCTTCAATTTGTCTGCTAACTTCACGACGGTCCCATTGTGCTTTTCTAAAGCCAGCAGCACACGGTGCTTGTTTTCGTGCTGGATTGGTACATTTCTGAAGATGGATAGAAATGCACCAATCAGAACGCAGTATTTTCATCCAGTAAACAATCCAGCACGAAAACAAGCACCGTGTGCCGCTGGCTTTACCTAATATCTCTTGTAAGAAAATAGAGTGAACAAGAACCGTGCATGCGTTACCGTTACCGTCAGGACGGACGTAATGTATACATATTTTCTCAGGTGGCGCGACGGAGAAAGCGTTCCGGCGTAACCGGCCCGGTGGCCACTCTCAGGTTTCTCTCTGGTATTACTTATTCACTTGTTATGTAATAGTGGTTGTCTAAGTTTGTTTCTTCGATTTTAACGAATTATTTTGGGATTTAAAAAAATGTCTGTTAGCAGAGTAATTGTGAGTATATATAAAACATGAGACGAATGTCTTTGTGTGAAAGCCTTTGTACAATTTCTCAAATATATTATATTCATTGACATTTTCCTAATTATGTTGATTGATTATAAATATCAATAGTTTTCATTGCAGGCACGAAGTTTTTCCTCGTCTATCATCACACAGCAATTAGTAAAGGTAATAAATATATTTTACAAGTGATTGTTTCTTTTCTTATAAAACTTTTAAGTGTCAAAGTCACCAGATTACAATGTATTTTTTGAGAAGTACTTTGTATATTTCATTTTTTATATTTAGATAAATATGCATTAATATACATGTGTGTATATATATATATATATATGTATGTGTATATATATATATGGATATGTGTATATATATATATATGTAATATGTAGCAGATGTATAATATATTATATATCATACATTATGCATACATAAATACGTAAGCAGTCTGAAAAGTTCTCGATCTGACACATACATGGTATTAGAAACTGTCAAACTATAATTGTATTGGAAAGTGGCATCCCTGATATAAACCCATGTAAAATTTTATTTGATCTGTCAAATCATTTGAGTAGTAGCACCAGTTGAAAAAGCTTTGTGCAAGATGGATGCCGCATTTGCTAACAATTGACCAAAAATGCATTCAAATGTGTATTTCTTAAGCGTGTTTGGATCGTTTTAAGCAAAATAAAATGGATTTCAAGTGTCGTTTCTTAACTGTTGATGAAACTTGAATCCACCACTATATACCAGAGTGAAAAGAACCTTCCAGAATCACACTTTAATGATGGTATTGAATTGTTGAAAAAACATTGGAATAAATGTATTAAAGTTTCAGGAGATTATATTGGAAAAATAAAACATATTTCACGGCAAAAAAAATTTTCTTTCATTGTTAGGCCGAGAACTTTTCAGACTGCCCTTGTGTATATGTATACACATACACACACATATACATAGGGACAAGTCAATATATAAATCATAAAATGGAATAGAAAAAAAATAATATTAGGTATTTGCTTTATTTTTTACTTTTCCACATAATCCCTCTGCACATTCAAACACTTATTCCATTGTTTGACAATATTTTGGATATTTGCAGCAGAGAAGATTTCTGACTGTTTGCGCAGTCAATGAGTGATCTTATTGGCAGTGGCTTCATCATTATCCACATAGAGTAAAAACTACTGAAAATGCAATTTTTGGTTGGAAACATCCATATTATAATCTAAACTTAGTCTAGATCTTTAGTGACTTCAATTTGTTTGGATCGTTTAGAGATCATCTGGATAGTTATTGTTTTAATAATTATGCATATTAAGAGACACCTCCCTTCCAGAAAAAAACAGTCAAATATTGACTCAAACAGTCAAATCTACACTCAATTATTCGAATTTACCATTAAATATGAGTATATGTACTCAAAGGAGGAGGGTCTCTAAGGCCTGTTTTCGGCACCCTTCAAAATTGAACCAAAATGGCTGGAATCACTTCCTTATACCCTTGGAAGTAATATTTAGTCAATTCCAGCCTAAACGGAAGTATTTAGAGTATATACTTCAAGTATACATGGTGCATCAGCGCACCCATATCAAGCATTTCTTTGGAAAACTAAGCATTTCTGAGAAAAATGTTTCAGATAAAAGTTATATGGTTTCAAAGGGGACATAAGATGGTGTCATTGGTTTGACCTTGGATAGTCATTTGAAGGTCACGTGAATGTCGATTTCAATATTTTATATAGAACTTCCTATTTTTATATATCTTGTAGCTTATCTCGAGAGCTTTGCAAAACACTTATAACTAAGTTATTTTTCATTAAATACTTTGCGAGTTATGAGGCTTCTTACAGATAGATTTGTAGAAACGTTACTTAAGGAGATCCGAGATCGAAATCATATTATTTATTCTTGTTGATTCTCTACATGTGAACAGTAAAATCGTAAACGTCATCTTCCTTTAAGAAACCATGTAGAGTGGGGTGTTGGATTTACGTGAGTCCCCTTGCCTGCCACTTTTTGGGGTGCTTGATTAAAAAAGTGAGTCCCCTTGCTTCTCACCTTTTAGGGTGCTTGATTAAGGTGAGTCCCCTTGTCTCTCACTTTTTGGAGTGCTTGGTTAAGGTGAGTCCCCTTGCCTCTCACCTTTTCGTTTGCAGGAACATTAATATTTTCTGCTATATTGGAAACGCCTAATTATAAATTGCAATTCACTGTAGAATAAATCTGAATAATTATGCAAGATTAAAAACTAAAGAAGGAGAAAAAATAAAGAAGAAAAACTCAAAAATAACAAGATCTTTTTGCGTAATAAGAAAATCTCGAGAAGCAGCTCTGACAAGAAGTAGTTTTATTTTTATCGTAACCAGGTCCCTGGGTACGCGCATACACGCATTTTGTGTATCTCTGACATTAAGATGTGAGATCGGGTCCGATATAAGGCCATGGACATAAGCAGAACTTGGTCTATTGAATTAAAAGCTTAAGGGATCGTAATTGCTCAAAAAGGTGCATACAGTTCTTAAAACAGTTCTTTTCAAAACTTCGTATTTAGCCTTGCGGCAGAAAATTCGTCAGTTATTTCTTTCAGAAATATTTGTAATAAGTATTTCTACGTGATCTACGATAGTGTTTTGGAAAGCTCTCGAGATAAGTTACAAGATATGTAAAAATAGGGGGTTCTATATAAAATATTGAAATCGACATTCACGTGACCTTCAAATGACTATCCAAGGTCAAACCAATGACACCATCTTATATCCTCCTTGGAACCATACAACTTTTATCTGAAACATTTTTCTCAGAAACGCTTAGTTTTCCAAAGAAATGCTTGACGGGCGCGCTGATGCACCATGTATACTTGAAGTATACACTCTAAATACTTCCGTTTAGACTGGAATTGACTAAATATTATTTCCAAGGATATAAGGAAGTGATTCCAGCCATTTTGGTCCAATTTTGAAGGGTGCCGAAAACAGGCCTTAGGGGGATCCTCCTCCTTTAAGTGTAAACGCTCAATATTTGAGTGTTTTTTCATAAGGGCTCGCCGACTTTAAACTTCATATATGTTGTCAAAGAACATTTCCTTGAGCCACTAAAAAGTTGACGGTCATTGTTTATTAGGGTTGCCAGATGGCCTTGATTTCCGGGATTGTCTCGGAATTTTTTCAAGTTCGTCCCAGGTCCCGGAATTTGAGTTTTTTATCCCAGAAAAGCAAAATTTTGATAAAATTATAATCATAATATTTATGTTCTCAATCGGTACTAGAGAGAAATGTGAGACCAATCATTGGGATTTATGAGGTCGAAAAATTTGACGTGCCACCTGAGAAACTATTCGTGTAATAAAAAGAAAAAAAGTCAATCGTATAATTGATGTCTAAACTTCTCTTTGCTAGTACCTAATTCATATATTTATTTGTTGCAGGTAAACAATAACATCTCTTAACTGTCTTATCCTTCTATCTGTCGAATTTAAAATCCTCTAACACCCTATTTTTTAACTTAAAGAATATCCCGAAAATAGTCATTTTGCATCTGGCAACTCTAATCCTAATATAATCTGACCTGACTTAATTGCTCAATTTAAATTGCTGTTACTTTTGACATTAGGAAATAGAATAAAATAAAAATATTATATTGCAAGATATTGCACATTTATCTAGTTTTCAATTTATTTTGTTACGATTAATAACAATATGCTTAAAAATGTATAAAGAATATTTGCTTTCAAACAAAAATTCAACAAATTCATAAATAAAATATAATTTACTTTTGATATATAATATAAAATATAATAGTACTTTTGTTGAAAGAAAGTAGTCAAATAAAATGGCGATGTTATAAGGTGTTATACATATCAACATAACTAAAGAAATGCAATAACATTATCTCTTTTCGACCATTATTTATATTTCTAATTCTTCGTGTAGTATTATTTTTCGATGAAATAATTATAAATTTGATAGAAATGTTTATAATATGTCCCACCTTGTGTAGGAACCTTACTAATCTTTTTAGTATACACCTTTTTTTTAGTATATTGTAGACTCATCTATTTAGTAAGGCAAAGATTTAATAAATATCTTCATATTTTTCCTTTTAGAATGTTGTTTTTTGACTGATGGAAGGTGTTTTCCCCTTTTTCATCCTATCCCCTGGACCTTCATCATTCGTTTGTAAAAATAGTTACATTTATATAAATCTTTTTATAGATCTATTAGTCTCTATACAATATACATAAATTCAAATAATTTTACGAACAATTGATGAGGGTCCAGAGGATAAATACATTTAAATCTTCGCCTTACTAAACTAATAAGTCTACAATATACTAAAAGAAGAATATACTGAAAAGATTAGCAAGGCCCCTACGCAGGTGAGATGTATCATGGAAAGATTATTAATATTATCATTAGATAGATATAGGTTGATTTTTTACATATATTTAACGTCGTTTACGTTTTGTAGATTTAATGTTTTATTATATAAAAATTATATAGAAATTTGCAAACTTCAGTGAAATGAACTATTATATGTTTAACTTTGCAGTGAAAATATTGGCTGATATAGAACTTATATTTTCGAATTTTTTTAATAAAAACTTCACTTTCCTTTTGTCCTTAAAACCTTGTATATATGCTTTCTTATAGTTAATTCTATTGTTGCTAAAATCGCGATTTTTAGTGGAGTAATACTTTTGGATATTTACCAAAACTTTGTTAATAACTTTATACGCCAACTGAAACTTTTTGTAAGTTAAGTTAAGGTACATGTCTTTGATAACATATATGGAGTTCAAAGTCATCGGCGAGATATCCCTTAATATGCATAATTACGGTTATTTTGACAACTGTGAAGCTGTTGCCAATAAAGTTACTCATTAGCTATATAAGCAGCTAAGAACTTTGCTGCTATCTTTCAAGGATTAATCAAACAATGGGGTAAGTATGTAAATATGCAAAAAAGTTATATTGAAATATAAAAAAGTGAAGAAAGTACTTATATTCTTTTTTTCTATCTCTATATATACATATATATACGTACATATACAGGGTGTCCCATTTTTTAAAACGCACCTTGATAATTTTTCAACGAAGCATTTTCAGCAAAAATATTTCTGACAAAAGTTGTATGATTTCAAGGGGGACATAAAACAATTATACTATTTTATTTACAAATGGTACCACTTTCGAGATATCCACTGATCATTACTTTTCTTAAATGGAAACTTCAATTTTTTATTATACCGTATTTTTCTACCAATTAATTTAAACAACTTTTGTCTGAAACATTTTTTTATTTGCCTAATATTTCTGAGATATTTAAGGAGAACTTGATACAACTTTTTCAATATTTAACTCATGATATCTCGCTAATTATTTGTCGGAAGAAAAAATTGTACTAGAGTTTTCAGCTCTATTTAATCTCAAGAATATATTGTTATAATAGCACCCTGATTTTTGTTAACTTACTGATTTTTGGAAATTTCAAAATCATCAAATTTATAAACAAAATAGTATAGTTATTTTATGTTCTCCTTGAAATCATACTACTTTTGTCCAAAATATTGGTAAATACATAGAAAAGGATATATCTCACCGATTTTTTTCATTTTAAAATATGTTATAAAGGATGAAATTCTGAGTGACTTTTCCTAATACAATTATATGGGAGTTGCTTATAATTTCTGAGATATTTGACTTTAAAGTTTTATAATTGTATGTTATAAAGTTTTATAATTGTATGAAGTATATTTGAGGTAGAGGTAAATATATAGAAGGGTGTACACCTCACCGGTTTTTTTCATTTTGAAATATGTTATAAAGGATGAAATTCTGAGTGACTTCCTGATACAACTATATGGGAGTCGCTTATAGTTTTCGAGATATTTGATTTTAAAGTTTTGGAATTTTGATTATCCTGGAATTTAATTCCAGATATCATAAGCTGATGTTATTTACAGTACAATCCAAACAGTTAATCCAAACATAGTGTATATACAGGGTGTTCCGTAAGTCGAGGTCAATCGCTCGAGAGATGAATGGGGGGAACCACAAACAAGAAAGAAAGTTGATACAAACATAGGTCCAAAAATGCATTGTTTCCGAGTTATCGCCATTTTTATGTTAAAATTTGAAATTGCTTTGCTTTCGAATTTTTTTGGTTTTGGAATTTCGATGGTTTTTATGAGTTTCAAAACACAACTAAAGTCCAATAAAAGTTGCGGGCTGCTGTAGCACTACCCAGAATGCACCGCGTGGAGGTACAGCCCGCTTAGCATCCCTTGGCAGAGATCAGAACCTCACAGTTCGTCACTCCTGTGGTAAATACCACAGTGTTATTGTACAAGCTTTGTTTTCGAACACCTTATATAATTTTTACGTTCACTCACACACGCACACGCATACGCGCGCGCACACACACACACACACACGCACACACACACACACACACGCACACACACCCACGACAGAGAGGGTTTGGAGTCACTAAATACCACAGGAGTGACGAACTGTGAGGTTCTGATCTCTGCCAAGGGATGCTAAGCGGGCTGTACCTCCACGCGGTGCATCCTGGATAGTGCTAAAGCAGCCTGCAACTTTTATTTGACTTTAGTTGTGTTTTGAAACTCATAAAAACCATCGAAATTCCAAAACCAAAAAAATTCGAAAGCAGAGCAATTTCAAATTTTAACATAAAAATGGCGATAACTCGAAAATAACGCATTTTTGGACTTATGTTTGTATCAACTTTCTTTCTTGTTTGTGGTTTCCCATTCATCTCTCGAGCGATTGACCTCGACTTACGGAACACCCTGTATAGAAATATAGGAAACCGTACATATAAGCGGGGAGGGGTTCCGCCCCTCCCCCGCACCCCCTCTCCAAAAAAATCCTAACCGAACCTAACTTATTGCATCTTTATATATTAGTGGGCGATGTTGAAAAGATCTCCTTAAAAGTCACAACACCTAGTTATATGCAGATATAATAATTTAAGTTATTATTATTATAATAATAAGTTATTATTATAATAATATTATAATAAGTTAAGTTGATCTAGGTGATAGATCTTAAGAGAACTTTTTTCAACAATGTCCAAAAATATATAAAGATGCAATAAGTTAGGTTAGGTTAGGATTTGTCTGGGGCGGCGGTGCGGGGGAAGGGCGGAGCCCCTCTCCCACTTATATGTACTGTTTCCTATATTTAAAGTGAATGAAAACTGCTTGTCTACTTCAAATATACTTCAACGTACAATTATAAAACTTTCAAGTCAAATATCTCAGAAACAATAAGCGATCCCCATATAATTGTATTAGGAAAAGTCACTCAGAATTTCATCTTTTATAACATATTTCAAAATGAAAAAACCAGTGAAGTGTGCCCTTTTCTATATATTTACCAAAATATTTTTGCTGAAAATGCTTCGTTGAAGAATTATAGAGATGTGTTTTTTAAAATGGCATAGCCTGTATATGTATATATCCTATGTGCAATTTGTGTGTGTGTGCATAATATGTATGTGTGTAAGTATGTACTGTGAATAATATACAGGGTGTCTCAGAACTTTGGGACACGGGCTCCGTAGGGACATAGAGCTAAGTGAGAGGAACAAAAAAGTCCTGTACCATAATGTGAAAATCGTAATAGTTTTTTAGTAATAACCGCGTAAAGTTTGGCATTTTCCACGCCCATCGCGGCCGCGCTCCGCTCCGCGGCAAGCTGTGTGCGTAGGGGCTGAGCAATAACGCGTCTCGCGTTGACTGTCGCGATGACGTCTTGGCGCTTTGACGCCGCGCAACGGTCAGCGCGAAACACGTTATCGCTCAGCCCCTACGCACACAGCTTGCCGCGGAGCGTCTATAGGCCGCGCTGGGCGTGGGAAACGCCAAACTTTGCGCTGTTATAATTAAAAAACTATTACGATTTTCACTATTACTATTACGATATTAATTTGTATAAATTAATCATTATGGTTATGGATTTTCACATAAAGGACTTTTTTGTTCCTCTCACTTAGCTCTATGTCCCTACGGAGTCCGTGTCCCAAAGTTCTGAGACACCCTGTATGTATATATATATATATATATAGTTTATATATGTATATAATTTTATATTTTTTGTGTTAATATAGCCTCCAATTCAAGTTTTTGGATTAGAAGGCAGATATGCAACAGCTCTTTTCTCAGCTGCATCCAAACAAAAATCTCTTGATGTAGTGGAAAAAGATTTGATTAATTTTCAGGTATAGTCACTGTTTGAACAGATATTATATGTATATTTATAATGTATCTAATTTTTTTTAATATGTATGTATCTAAATTAGGGTCTCCTGAAAACAGATACTAAATTAGCAGAATTCATAAAAGATCCTTCAATAAAACGGAAAAATAAGACAGAAGCCTTTAAAGCTATTGGTAGTAAGGTCAGTATGAATGCAGCCACAGCAAATCTGTTGACATTACTTGCAGAGAATGGCAGATTGGGGAAAATCAATCAAGTCATTAATTTGTATAAATTAATCATGGCTGCTAATAGAGGAGAAGTAGTATGTGAAGTAATTACTGCAAAACCACTAGAAACAGATATGAAGAATAAATTGGAATCAGCTCTTAAAGGTTTTTTGAAGAAAGGACAAACTATTTTGCTCACAACTAAAATAGACCCTTCCATTATTGGTGGAATGCTAGTGTCAATAGGTGACAAATATATTGATATGAGTATTGCTAGCAAAATTAAAAAGTACAATGATCTCATCCAAGCTACAGTATAATTGATTCAAATATTTCTCTGATATAATAAAATAAATTTCATCACATATAACTGTACTTGAGTGTTATATGTAAATTATTGAATAGTAAATAAAATGCTGTAATTTCAGTCTGTGTGAAAATGTGAAATGATTATCATCTGTATTATATTAAAATATACCCACAAAAAAATATGGATATAAATGTGTGTACTAAGCTGGAACTTATGTCAATTTCATTTATTTGTAATCAACAAAATATTTTTAAAACTTTGACAAAATCTTTTGATAATTACATAAGTATTTTATTATCTATTTTAACAATAATTTGTAACTTCTCAAAATATAACATGTTAATAATTAAAATAAGTTTATTTATATAGGTATCTTCAGCATTGATAATCATATACTTTAATTTCTCTTATCCAGAAAATAAAAACATATGTAAAATAAACATTAATAAATGTGTATGTAAAATAATGTATAAGCAATAGAGGAAAATAGAATTATTGAATCTAATCTTCAAGCTATTGGTTTGATATTAGCTTATACAAGGTATATAAAAAGTCCCGAGACTCCTGAATATCTCAGAGGAGTTACGTTTTAGACAAAAATGTTAAAGATGAATGTTATAGGGTTTCAAGAGGTCTATCTATTAGTTTTATCAGTTTAATCTTGAGTGGCGCTGCCAAGGTCAGGTCAAGGTCAACTTAATTTTTTAAAATGGATACCCTCATTTTTTATTACATCATCTTTTTCTACCAATTAATTTTAACAACTTTTGTCTGAAACATTTTTTTATATATAATAATGCCTTACCTTTTGTTAATTTATCGACCTTTGGGAATTTCAAAATCACCAAATTAATAAAAGTCAGGGTACTATTGTAACAATATATTCTTAAGACCAAATAGAGCAAAAAATCTAGTACTATTTTTTCTTCCGACAAAGAGCGAGATATCGTAAGTTAAATATTGAAAAAGTTACCGAGCTTTCCTTAAATATCTCAAAAAATATTTGGCAAATAAAAAAATGCTTCAAACAAAAGTTGTTCAAATTAATTGCTAAAAAAAGATGATGTAATAAAAATGGGGGTATCTATTTAAAAAAATTAAGTTGACCTTGATCTAACCTTGGCAACGTTACTCAAAGTCAAACTGATAAAACTAATAGATAGACCTCTTGAAACCCTACAACATTCATATTTAACATTTTTTTCTAAACTCACAACTACATAACTCCTCAGAAACATTCAGAGGTCCCAAGACTTTTTATTTACCCTGTATTTTTTGCTTAAATGTATAAAAAAAACGTATCAATGAAAGCATCGCAAAATTTACCAAAAAATTCTTTGATGCAATATAATTTACAAGAAAATATTAAATTTTATTTAATTGCATTATCTTCATGTTCTCTGTACTTAAAATAACTAAAATATAATTGCACTAAAAGCAAAAAAGAAAATATAGCTAAAAAATCATATCTCATGTTTTAGCGACTTAATACAACTAAAAATATGACAAATATATATTTTTTATAAAAATACTATTTAATTATATAAAATAGGATGATATATTTGTGAGAATTGCATTTTATATATATCTTTAAAAATAATGATGAAGTAATTATGTAAATATCATATTTCAACAAAATGCTATTTGTAAACTTTTATGATATTTATACTTGATTAAGTAACGCAATAGCATAATTAACTCAAAACATTTAATTCATGTAAGGTTATATCTGTCAGTTATAGATGGTTTAATATCAGTTATGTTAAAATTGAGGCAACAACTCATATTATTATCCAATATTAATAATTATAAATAGAATATGGTTTAATTTGTTAGAAACTAGAGAGGAAGAGAGAGTTCTATTTACTTTCCCTTTTTCAGCAAAGAATAAATGTATATTTTTGTGACCTATTTTACATTCACATAACATTAATATTATTTGTTACAACTGTATTGATTTTAAACGAAATACATGTTTCATTCAATTACTTATAATTGTCATTTCATAATAATAACCAGAAAAAAGTTTAATAAGTCACAGTTGTATATCACAAATTATTACTCTCTAAAAATATATCGATTGTAATATACAGGGTGAGGGGTTATAAGTTTACAACCCGAAGTATGAAGGTAGATTAGGTTAAGACAAACATAAAAGTCCCATACCGTTTTGCGAGATTCGCAATAATTATCGAGTTATTAATGACAGAAATCTGAGGAATGGGAGCGCGCCGACATAGATGACATTGGAGAAGCATTGCAGCTACTCAGGCCACAGCGCGGCCCACTCGACCCAGCAACTGTTGGCGGCGTGCGGCGAAACGTAGGTCCGGCGAGATAAAATAACACGAATAGCCGCGCATTGTCTTTCCCCTCGCCGCGCACCGGCAACAGTTGCTGGATCGATTGGGTCGTGCTGTGGCCTGAGTAGCTGCAACGCTTCTCCAATGTCATCTATGTCGGCGCGCTCCCATTCCTCAGATTTCTGTCATTAATAACTCGATAATTATTGCGAATCTCGCAAAACGGTATGGAACTTTATGGAACGTTTGTCTTAACCCAATCTACCTTCATACTTCGGATTGTAAACTTATAACCCCCCACCCTGTATATAGGGTGTTTGATAGCTGATCATACAGACGAAAGTTGGAGATAGATTGGATGTAGCCGAGAAGAAAAGTCATGTACCATAATGTCAAATTGGCAATAGTTACCGAGTTATTAATTAAAACATATGAGCCAACGAGCGCGTAGAGAGCGGAGGGCGGCCGCAGTAAGCATGTAGACATTTGATACAGGCGGAGTTAGTGAGTGGCGGTAGGCAAGCGCGCGCGGCGAGGGGCAACGTAAGCGGCAAGAGGCGATCGCGTGCGACGAGGAGCGAGCGAGCTTTTTCTTTATAGCTTTTTCCTTATAGCTCGCTCGCTCCTCGTCGTTCGCGCTCGCTCGCCTCTTGTTGCTTGCGCTCGCTCGCTCCTCGCCGCGCGCGCTCGCCTACCGTCACTCGCTGACTCCGCCTGTATCAAATGTTTACGTGCTTACTGCGGTCGCCCTCCGCTCTCTACGCGCTCATTGGCTCACATATTTTAATTAATAACTCGATAACTATTGGCAATTTGACATTATGGTACATGACTTTTCTTCTCGGCTACACCCAATCTATCTCCAACTTTCGTCTGCATGATCAGCTATCAAACACCCTGTATATATATAAAAAAAAAATAAGACAATTTTTGTGTACAATTCTATATTAAAACATTATGGAACGTCGGGATATCGTCCTTAACTAAAACCCAATCTTCTTCTTCTTCAAGAACAGCAGATGTAGCTGATTCTTTTGCCAAAGCTGCAAGCAGAAAACCTGATTAGATATCTTCTGATATTGATCATTAGTAGTACCATATAAGTAATTTTTTGATAATCCATTAATTACTTACCATTAAATTGAACTTCTAATTCATGGCAATCTACTGATTGCACTTGTCGAAAATCATTACCAGCTGTTGGAATATAATCCAACTTATTTTGTAAAAGTGTCTTTCTACATTCTCCAAGATCTTCCAATCTCTTTAATTCGGTATGATAGCTCACATCTTCCTCTCCTGATTCGGTTTCTGTATGATCACTGTGATCAGTGTACTCCTTTTTTTCATTCGTACTCTGTTCTTCGTTCATCGTATTATTAGGATATACGTTACAATTGATGTGCGTTATACTATCCACATGATCGGGTGCATTCGAGTTATTTTCTATTTGACTACTTTTCATATACTTGCATAAGATCGAATCAAAATCAAGAATATTAGCTAATAACTTTTCTTTATTTTCTACATCTCGTTGGATCCTTTCTAAATCACGATCTGATTTTAACACACAATTATCATCTATATTCAATGACAATAGTGAAGAATGGGTCGTTGTCATTGCTTCATTGACATTTATGTTATTAACATTTGGGTTATTCGATGAAAAATCCGTGACGGATGGTGATGCAATATGCCAGTTTTTGTTTGCCATTTTACTATGAGATTTTCTTTGTTTTCTCTTGGGTGTAAAAACAACGTCTTCAAATTCCTGTTGACCGATTTTTCGAAATAATTCTCGACGATCATTACTCTTTTCATCCTTTATATTTTTCTTTCTATCTTTATGTTCTAATATTGTATTAATATGTGTCATAAGTGGGATATTTAAATCTAATGGAACTATTGGTGGTATTTCGACTATTTCTACAGCTTCTTCTGCATTAACAACTGCATTGTCATCAATACCAATAGTAACTGGTGCAATACTGTAATGTAATTTATTCTCATTAATATTAATAACATCATAGATAAACGATTTCTTCTAAAAAAATAACTCATTATCGTTGATGAAAAAAAAAGAATATTAAGAGCCATCGTTGGGTATTAGATACAATAATGTGAATTAAGCAAAAGGATAAATATATTCGATTGTGTAACTGTTTCTCAAAGTTTCATCTCCTTTATGCTATCTCGATAATTATTGCAGATAGAAAAAAACTTTTTAAACAAAAATTGTACGGCATAAAAAACCGTACAATTTTTCTGCAGTTTCACCCCTTAAACCTGAGCCATTGCCAATAAAGAAAAATATAGGTTTCTTATTCTTGATTACTCTACAATATGCCAACTTCCTTATAAATGTTCTTTATAAATATGATTCCCGATATTCTATTTTAATGAATCCCCTCTAAATTATATAGAAAACTATATCAGTGGATATTGCGAAAAATTACTTCAGTTAAGAGCAGGAAACTGGACCTCCCTATTTATTAGATTGAGTGCTATTACAATTTGTATCAATAAGTTTGGTTGCATTACAGAATCAAATATACGTGCATTACAGAATCAAATATATTTATTCTTTAATTTAGTTTAAGTTATCGTACTTTACCTCCAATGATGGCTCGTAATAACTTAGTTTTTCTTTTATCAATTGAATACTATTAGAAGCATTAAAATATTTTTGTTTTGTTTCTATTATTAATTTTGAAAAACATCTAGTCATCGTTATCGTTACTCAAATATGAATCTCATTATAATTTCAATTATATTTTTTCATAAAATTTTGAAAAGGTTTTTAAGATTCTCCACTACTCATTCCATATATGTTCTATATTCTAAGTACGCTAAGTAACAATAAAAATGACAATTGTATTCGATACTATTATTCAGAAAATATAATTGTGTCACCATTACTAATGAAAAAAATAACATTGTTACTAAGTCATTACTGCAATAACTTATAATGACATTACAAATAATGTATTATTTCCAACTTATGAATAACATTAATGCTTTAATTCCACGGAATGATATGTATATTTGGTTTTAGTACGATTTTGACACTTAAAATATTCTATTACACATTTGACTGTGTTTCAAGTTGCATCAGGAAAGATGTCCATCAGGAAAGACATTACTTTCTGTACTTTTACAACAGATACTTGCTAGAATACAAACGTATTTTTACACAAGATGTCAATTTTACTTGTATCGCCGCACTTAGAGTTTATTGCTATTGGAACCAATTGTGGGCTTATCTACTGTATAATAGTTAAAAATGTTTGAAAAATGATTTTAAAAAATTGTTATATACCTCACAGCAAAGTCTTTGTAAATCTTGTTTTTCTCGATTATACCAGTAGACAAGCCCACGATTAGTTTCAATAGCAATAAACTCAGTAAGTGTAGCAATATAAATAAAACTGACATCTTGTGTAAAAATACCAGTTTATATTCTGGCAGGTATCTGCTGTAAAAAGGCAGAAAATGGTGCTTTTCCTGATGCCTGTCCAAGTCATTATTAAAACTTATGTATAGATACTTAAGATTATTTTTTTGTTACTTTACTTTACTTTTTTTTGTTTACTTACCCTACAGTTTGGATAATGTTGGTTGAATTAATTTTGTGAAAGGGAATAGCTGACACTACAGTACTCTCTTTTAATTTTGAAGTTAGTTCTAATAAGCCAATAGTGACAGGTTTACTACATTCTGCAAACGATGATAAAGGATCCAATGTGGTTCTTGTTTCTTCTGTTACAAAACAATTAAAATATTTTACCAATGATTTTTATTTTAATTTCTCATTATGAAGTCTCACTCTATGATCTTTCTAATCACTCTAAAAATAATAATTACCTGATGTGAAAGTGTTATCTTCCGGATAGTGAGCGATACGCAAAATATTTCTTTCTCCTTCCAATATAAATATCTCATCTTTAGTACAAGTTACATCAGTAACACGCCGCAAATCGGTCACAACTGATGTTATTGCAATAGTACTTGGATTTACTACATAAATTACATCATCACTATATGTTACTAACAAATCATCACAAAACGGCAATGCAATACCGAAAGAAGGTTCACCGCGATTCCTTCTGGATCCTTCTGGTGCGGGATTTAATAACTCTACTTCTGTATGACCAGATCTGACTGCATCCTATGTGAAACAAATTTACAATTTAATAGGTTAAAAAAATAACTACTAAAAATATTTATTGTATTAAATTTGAGTACCTTAAATATAAGTGTTTTCAACACAGTACCAACTTTATCAGCTTGCCATAGACGCAAACCTGGTCTACTAGCATAGATAATTGGTTCTTGGACATAATTTTGTCGAGAACCAAATACCGCACCTAGTTTACCTAATCTAAATGTACCAAAATATCATTTTACATTTCTTTAAAACTTTTACTACAACACATATGTGTGATTATAAATATACTAACGTTTTACGTTCTTTTTGGCCAACTTGTATAACTTTTCCATTTTCGTTTCTATTCACCAAAATTGTACGTAATGTAGTTGAAACCAATAACAAGCCTTGTTGATAACTCAACTGTACCACTGAATACTTTTCATTTAATAACTGTGATGATTTAGATAAATGCTATAAGAAAATAATATAAAATACTAATTATTTCTATATTTATAAAAAACAGTTAAAAAAAAGATCTGATCATTACATACCATATAAAAGTCAATTTCTGTTAAAACTACTAGACCATCTCGATCTCCGCTAAATAATTTCATACCATTCTTGGACCATTCAACTGCTGTCACTGCATTTTTATGCAAACCATTTATACTATACCTTTCCACCTTATAAATAATAAAATATATATTATTTGACAAATCATAATGTCTGAATTTATATTATATTTATATTATATTTACCTGTATTTTTTGTTTCGGTTTTAAACTATCTGGTAATGTATCTGGTGGACTTTTGGGAATTTGAAAAACTGTAATTACTCCTTGTTCATTACCAGCAGCAACCATATAATCAACAGTAGATATTACTTTTACACATGTGATTTTGGAATATGCATTCTAGAGGAAAAAAGATACTGTTGTCTTAATTAGTTAAAAATGTTTGAAAAATGATTTTAAAAAATTGTTATATACCTCACAACGAAGTCTTTGTAGATCTTGTTTCTCTCTATTATACCAGTAGACAAGCCCACGATTAGTTCCAATAGCAATAAACTCAGTAAGTGCAGCAATACAAGTAAAACTGACATCTTGCGTAAAAATACCAGTTTGTATTCTGGCAGGTATCTGTTGTAAAAGTGCAGAAAGTGGTGCCCACTCCCTTAATGGTCCGACATCTTCACACATGGGTGTTGCCATTGTTACTACATATTTCACAACAATACTGTTATATAATTATAGACTAAGTTTCATAACAGGCTTTGAAAATAATATAGAAATACATATACAAGGCAGTATAATGTTCAATACATAAAGCAATATTTTACTTATTTTACAAACGTACGCTTGATGTACTTTACTGACGCACATTTGCAACATACTATTATTGCATATATTGTTATATGTATATTTTAATTAAATTTTTAATGTACGTAAGAAGTACCTTTGCTCAGGATTAAAGCTAAATCGATAGATTTAATGAAGATAGATTCAGACGAAGGAGAAAGCTCACAAACATCGATAAACTATATAATCCATATGATAATTTTCCTTTCAATACATTGTAACTCTTTCATTGCAACTAAGTATACGCAGTTACATATATATTGATATACTACAAATTTATAAACGTGTTTTCTACAGACGTTTGTAACCGAAAGAAGGAAAAAGACAAAAAAACTACATCTGTCAACCTCAATGAATACTATGACCAGAGAGAAGAAGGAGAAGGGTCATGGACCGCTTTCAGCCGAACCAAGTGCGAAGCGCTCTCTGTAGAACCATGCATATGAACTACGATACCAATGGCCACATTCAGTACTTCTTCTTTTTGGAAATGGCACTGGCATGAATGTCATTGGCTAGTACGGTCGCGGACACTCGCGGACATAAAGCTCGTATCAGACTATGGATTGGGATTGAGATTAGATTGAAATTTGACCAATTAAAAAGAAGAAAATAATCTCAAGTATAGTAAACTTACTCCTGATTGGTTAAATTTCAATCCAATACTCAATCCCAATCCGTAGACTGATACGGGCTTTAAGGTTTGTGCCCGTGTTTTTGCAACTTTCGGAACGCATCCCGACTCGAGAAGAATGAGAGTCACTGCTCCGCCTGCGAAGCATGCCTGCGCAGTGACTCACAACGAAAGGCGAGAAATGAAATATACACGGTGGGATATATTATAATAATACAGACTCAGATGAAATGAATACTCCAGCATTAAGGATGCGGTCCATCAATCGCTACAAATGCTTCGAAGCGTTTTTACTTCTCTTTCTTTCTTCGTTTGCATCCGAGAAATAGAACGAGAAAGATCGAGAAACGCTTCAAAGCATTTGTAGCGGTTGCCGGACCGCATTCTAAATGGAAATGAGGAAACATAGAACAGACAAGAATCATCCGATCTAAAGCCAGCGGCACACGGTGCTTGTTTTCGTGCTGGATTGCTTGCTGGATGAAAAGATTGCGTTGTGATTGGTACATTTCCGAAGATGGATGGAAATGCACCAATCAGAACGCAGTATTTTCATCCAGCAAGCAATCCAGCACGAAAACAAGCACCGTGTACCGCTGGCTTTAGTCTTATACTTCGGGAAACATCCGAAAAAGGTAGAGATAAATAAACATGTTTATGTTTTTAAAACAATACGAACTTAATTAAGAGAATTAAGCTGCATTACGATAGTTACGATTCTGTTATACATTTATATATGATTTATTGTTTCAGCAACAGCCATCTTCTATAGCAGAAGCAATGATATTAGATACAGAAGCAGCTGTTATAGCAAATTTTGAATTTTTGGAACATACAGACATGGACATGGAAAAGGAAGAAGTAGATGGAAAGGATGAAATTTATGATGCAAATATAGATACCAAACCAAATAAAGTAACGTTTACTATCATCTTGTGTTTTAATGATATTGTTCACGCTATTTGTTAATATACTTTCTTATTTTTCAGGCATCTATCCCCCTTCTAGCGGAAAATGTTGATACAGATGCAGAGGCAGAAGAAGTATTAAATGAATTAAATCTCATAGAAATTGAAGAATCGCCACCTGGTTCTATCCATCTGGAAATGAATTCTTCAAAGAGGTTAGCAAATCCCTTTTTATTCGTTTTACTTACTTTAAGATAAAATATAAACCTATTACAATAATAAATATTTTGTAATATTGTCACATATAATCACATAATCTAATGATGCCTGTAGATTTATTACATAAAGGATTACAACAAGATCCAAGACGCCCAAATAATAAAGAAGGTGGTGACTCCACGCTGGAATTAGGAAAATTAGAACAATTATGTGTTAACAATGATGCAGAAATATCGTATGATGTAAGTTCCAAGAATTTTCCCCTGTATTTTAGTCGAGTCGCTTTTTCAGCTATGTAAGAGTTACAGTTTGTTGACACTCTTAACGTATTATTTCTTGCAACATAGATGGTTTCCACCACGAAGGAGATCTTTAGAAAAACATGGAACGCTAAATATACGTTACGTTCGCATTTTAATGCTGTTAGAGCACTCATCTTCCACCCTGCACATCCGGTTCTTATTACCGCAAGCGATGATCATACATTGAAGTTGTAGAATCTTCATAAGACTACCGGCAAAAAAGTAAATCCAATATCGATTAATGTTGTGAAAATATATAAAATATAAACCGCAACATTTCATTTCAAAGATACTGTATATCATAATTTTATGTTTTAATATTCTTTCAGGTCAACTTCGTTAGATGTAGAACCACTTCACACATTCAGATTATACACTGGACCTGTGTTGTGTCTAGCCATGTGTAGTATGGGCAATCGATGTTACAGTGGTGGTTTAGATGGCATGATCCATTGTTGGACATTACCATCGGCTAACATTGATCCATATGACTCGTACGAACCAAGTGTCCTTAGTCATACATTAACGGGGCACACAAATGCTGTTTGGGGCTTGAGCATGTATTATATATATGAAGCATACATTTTTCGGTTGATCCATTATTTATGAAATTTGGTATACAATAGTTTTTTGGGTCGCTGATCACGAATCCGAGGTCAGAAAAAAATGAGTTTTTTTGCTCTTTGTTTATTTATAAAACTTGCAATAAATAAGTCCTATTTTTTATATTATTCTATCCTTAAGATAACGATAAAATACAAAAAACCAGTCTAAATGTGTCAGTTGGATAATAAGCTGCCAAATAATAAAGAAGTTTAGGTGGTAACGTGCGTTACCACCATGCATCAAAGGGTTAAGGAAGTTTTACTATATTAATTATATGTGATCAAATAATGTCACTGATGCTTACGAACAGTTGTTAATAAATTCTTGAAAGAAAGAAAAAAGAAAAAGGATATAGTTTTGATTGAAATTTATGGATTGTATTTATGTAGTTAAAAAATAAGCAAATATATTGTTTATTATTATACTTTATTAAATTATATTAACAATATATGTAACAGCATCTAGAAGTTATATGATTCTTATTGAAAAATATTATTTTTATATAATGGGTGAAAGAAAAATCATATTACATAAAATATATTGAAAAAATATAACATTCAAATATATGTTCTTATATATATATCATTACGTCGAGTTTTTGAGAATTTGGAACATCAAACAAAATTGAATAGAACAGCGAAGATGATCAGGGCGAAATCGAGTCTTCTCAAACTGAGCACCATTTTTGCCTTCAACAATCTCTTCAGACTTCACTACGCGTTCTGGATCGTGACGTGTTCGTTATTTAAATATGCTGTGTGTATGGTATAAATCGTCTAGTGTGGCACACTAGAAAATTGTTCGCCTGCACTTGCCTACGTTTCAGTTTACCGTGCGCATCGGTCTACCCGGAGTGAAGACAAGAATTTCAAGACGAGGGGTCGATACGGGGAGCACAGTCAAGAAGGACCCGTCTCTCTCGGTGCCTGCGTAAACCGAATTGGATGAGAGATGAAATGAGATGAAGACAAGATGAAATGACGATATGAGAAGGGCGGCAAGGCGGCCACAGAGCACCAATTTATAAGGAGTCTGACAACTGCGTCATGAAGACCTCTTTGTCCTGCGTCTTTACCTCCGAGCTGCCAGCGGCGCAGTTGGCGGCGGTTTTCGGCTGAATCGATGAGGAACCTTTGTTGTTGTGGTACTGGTGATTGCTTCTTGTGTCCAGAGTGAGGATGGCGACGACGTTGGCTGTCCGTTGCGGCTTCTCAAAGTTCTCATGAGTAAGGCATCGCGGAGCCTCGCTCTGTAGCGTCGTTCATGCTCGGCTCGCGTATCGGTGAACCTCGAGGTGGCTGTTGCTGTTTCCCGCTCGCTCATGGTGTATTGCTAGGATAGGGCGGCGACGTGACCACCTTCGTGACGGAATTTAGAGTCATGCCCGAACGAGTCACCCTGGGGACTGACTGTTGTTGCTCGTAGGAACGCTCGTCGACCGCGGATTGTCCGGACGACACTTCAACTGAAAATTCAGGTTGCGCTCCACGACGACCGCCGTCGTCGGCTCCTTATATTCTTACAAAATGTAAGAATATTTCCATGTATCAATATATCTTCTCATATACAGGGTGTTTGATAGCTGATCATGCAGACGAAAGATGGAAATAGATTGGGTGTAGCCGAAAAGAAAAGTCATGTACCATAATGTCAAATTGGCAATAGTTACCGAGTTATTAATTAAAACATGTGAGCCAACGAGCGCGTAGAGAACGGAGGACATCCGCAGTAAGCACGTAGACATTTGATACAGGCGGAGTCAGCGAGTGACGGTAGGCAAGCGCGCGCGGCGAGGGGCAACGTAAGCGACAAGAGGCGATCGCGCACGACGAGGAGCGAGTGAGCTTTTTCTTCATAGCTTTTTCCTTATAGCTTGCTCGCTCCTCGTCGTTCGCGCTCACTCGCTCTTCGTCGCGCTCGCTCGCTCCTCGTCGTTCGCGCTCGCTCGCTCCTCGTCGCGCGCGTTCGCCTCTTGTCGCTTCATTCTACGTTGATTACGTCCTCCCACAGAGGACGTAATCAACGTAGAATGGCAGCCGGCCCAAGGATACAGCGCGACTTGTGGAGCGACGAGCGTGCAGACGAGGAAGAGGAGCAGGACCAGCAAGACCCGACATAAGGTATATAGCACTGTTGAATAAACATGCAATATTTACAAAATATTGTGAAAATATAGATGTTGAATATTTCGTAAATATTCTAATGTCCGACATTTTCAGGCATGAAAAGGGTATGATAAATATCTAAACATGTTTGTCATACGTATGTTTATAAAAAGAATTCCGATTTATAAAAGATGTATGAACAATATCATAAATATTTCTAGATATTTATCATATTTTTTCCATAGTTGAAAATCTCAGACATTAGAATATTTATAATATATCCAACATCTATGTTTTTAAAATATCTTGTAAATATTGTGTGGTATCTGAACAGTGAGAAGTGATACATCTGCTGGAAATATTTAGCTGAATTTCTCCCTCACATATGACGCAATTTCAATATTATTTCGTTAATGGCTGCGTTCAGCAGAACAAAGTGATCAGTGAGTGCTTAGTGATTATTTTGTCTGTGACTGGAGCATTCTTTTATATTTTTCATAGGCCCAGAAGTATTTGCCAATCAGGAGCGAGAATCACTAACCGTTCACTGATCATTTTGTTCTTCTGAACGCAGCCAATGTATACAGTTTTCTGTAATATTCAATACATTTCACGGTATGTTGTTTAATATGTATATATTGAATATCACTGAAAAATGCCTACATTCATGAAATAATATAGAAATAGGGTCATGTAAGAGAGAAATGTAGCAAAGCATTTACAGCAGAGATCATTCCTCACTGATTACTGGTAGTAAAGTTATATGTTCTTCAGTATTTCATTTTCGTTCCCTGTATTATTTGACCTCATCTATTAATCGCGTCCGTCATATATATTAAAAAATATAAAAAATTTCTAAATTTACAGATGCATGGGACGAAGATGAGGTCGAAGACAACACTCACGGTCGCAGGAGGTCGAGAGAAAGAGAGAGAGAGAGAGAGAGGGGGGAGGGAGAGAGGGAAAGGGAGAGGGAGAGAGAGAGGGGGGGAGAGGGAGAGGAGGGTGCAACATGCACGCACATACCACACGTTCTCTTCTCGAAGAGAGAGAAGGTACTTCGGTAAATCGGTACTTTTCAGCGCCTATTTTTAAAACATAACGGGAACACCTCAGTGCAATAAAAGGCATTTTTGAATGCCAATATCTGAATCGGTACTTTTTAGTGCCAACTTAGGCTAATATTACATGTATCGTACGACAAGCTTTTCGGATATATTGATTGGCGTACGCGGAGCAATCCTAGAAATATTCTGTTTGTTAACTAATCAATGTATTCGAAAAGATTGTCGTATGACAAATGTAATATTAGCCTTATATTTTAGTGTATTTTCGACATTGTAACAAATTAAAAAAAATTGTTATAATAATAATAATAAATCATTAAGTATAATAAATTTGTAAAATATTAATAAAAATTTATTAACATATTTGATTTTACTTAACAATTAAGCGGGGAATACAGATTCGTGCATAATATATAATTGACAAGCAAATGCATTAACAGAAGTCATTTCCAGCTGTACGTAAACAATGAATGATTCGAATAAATTCATTTGCTTTTGCATTGTACATTATACACTTGGCCAAAATCTGTACTCCTTGCTTTATTTGAACCTAACCTACCTGGTTGAAGTGGGAGGGGTGTAATAAATGAATATGACAGAATCTGCTCGATATTTGGCGCCAATTTGCTGTGGAATTTTGTCACTAAGCTTTGCTCGGTATTTGGCGTCAATTTGCTGTAGGGTTTTATCGCCAAGCTTTGCCCGGTATTTGGCGTCAATTTGCTGTGGAGTATTGTCGCCAAAGTCTACTCGGTATTTGGTGACAATTTGGTGTGATGTTTTGTCCGCAAGCCTTGCTGGGATCTTGGCGCCAATTTGCTGTGGAGTTTTGTCAGCCAGTCTTGCTCATTATTTGGCGCCAATTTTCTATATAGTTTTGTCAACAAGTCTTGCTCATTATTTGGCCTCAATTTGGCATCAGAATATGTATACAAGCTTTGCTAGCAAATTCCGATGCTATTGAGGACACAGATGGCACCGGATTTGACAGCAAACTTTGTATAAGTTTGGTGCCAATTTGGCGACAATTTGCTACCAAATTGTTTGCTGGGATTACATATAATGTGCATGTTAGTTGTAATTTCCTATTCAACAATATAACTGTTATATAACACAAATGTTATATAATAGTTATAAACTAAGATCTTTATCAGTTTTCTTTCAGTATGTACCAGGTATGTCGGTAATTACTTTCCGGTTTTTGTAATAGATGTCACTAGCCATAAGTATGCAATGTTATGATTTGATACATATGTCATTTTATTCTACTGACATTAACCTCAAAACCACACAAGTTATGTTCCGCCAAAATAACAGCGTTACAGATTAATAATTTTTTGAAAATGTCGAGTTTTGTGAAAACGTGCATTTGCAGCACGCATTATTTTTCTTGTTTAATCAAAAAAAAAAAGCCGCTGAAAGTCATCGTTTGCTGGTAGAGACTAAAGCTAAGACTCCATGCATGCGGTGAGCTGCGGCAAATGCTGCGGTGACCAATCAGGAGGGAGGCGCAAGTCCGGTTGCGGCAAGCTCCGGCATGCGTCTGTCTCCTGATTGGTCACCGCAGCCGTTTGCCGGAGCTCACCGCATGCATGGAGTCTTAGCTTTACGGTGAGCATGCTCCAACCATAAGAACATGTGAAACGTGATTTTGACAATTCAAATGTGGTGATTTCAACGTTCAAGACGACAAAAAATGTCCTAGTAGGCCGAAAACGTTTGAAGATGCGGAATTGCAGGAGTTATTGGATGAAGACCCAACACAAACTCAAAAACAATTGGCAGAAAAGTTGAATGTGAGCCGAGTAGCAATTTGTGAACGATTACAAGCGATGGGAAAGATCCAAAAGATGGGAAGATCATGGGTGCCACATGAATTGAATGACAGGCAATTGGAAAATCGAAAAATCGTCAGTGAAATGCTGCTTCAAAGGTATGAAAGGAAGTCATTTCTGCATCGAATAGTAACGGGTGATGAAAAATGGATTTATTTCGAAAATCCCAAGCGAAAAAAATCATGGTTATCACCTGGCGAAGGCGGCCCATCGACTGCAAGGCCAAATCGCTTTGGTCGCAAGACCATGCTCTGTGTCTGGTGGGACCAGGTTGGTGTCGTATATTATGAACTGTTGAAACCTGGAGAAACAGTTAATACTGATCGCTACCAACAATAAATGATCAATTTGAACTGTGCATTGATCGAAAAACGTCCACAATACGTTCAAAGACATGATAAGGTGATTTTGCAGCATGACAACGCGCCGTCTCATACAGCAAAACCAGTCAAAGAAGTGTTGAAATCACTTGGATAGGAAGTTTTATCACACCCGCCGTACTCTCCAGACCTGGCTCCATCCGACTACCACCTTTTCGCATCGATGGGGCACGCGCTTGCAGAGCAATACTTCGCCGATTTCGAAGAAGTTAAAAAATGGCTCGATGAATGGTTTAGCTCAAAGGAGAAACAGTTCTTTTGGAATGGCATCCATAAATTGCCTGAGAGATGGGCAAAATGTATAGAATCAAATGACCAATACTTTGAATAAATATATTTTAACTATCCATTGTAAATAACGTGTTTTCTTTAGCGAAAGAACCAGAAAGGAATTACCGACACACCTGGTATAACAGTCAAGATATGATGAGCAAAATAATTATTCGATAGAAATGTAAATAAGATTATCGAATTTGAAATACCGTATACAAAAAAGTCATTTTCACAATCATAAATAATACTTTTAAGGAAATGTCATATATAACAATATATAAGAAAAATAATATAAAAAACTAATCCACGTTACATGTAATATTGTGTTTGCTGGAATATTTCACGCACTGCGATTCGCGTAATTAGGAAAGGAAATTATTTAGGATAAGAAATAAATATAAGAAATATATTATATTTTCAATTTTTTATTTTCTTTTATGTGTGTATGTGTGTGTGTGTATGTGTGTGCGTGCGTGCGTGTGTATATATTTGTTATTGCGTCATATAAATATTTATATAGGGCATTCCTGTGCCTCTTCTTCTCCATTCTCCTCTTCCTCTTCCTCTTCCTCTCCATTCTCCTCTTCCTCTTCCTGCATCTTCGCTTCCACCTCTTCCTCTTCCTCTCCCTGTCCCTCTTCCTCTTCTTCTCCCTGTCCTTCTTCCTCTTCCTAGTGCAGCTACCACTGCTGTTTCAATAATATTTTGTAATGCTGCAGTCTGTAACAATAAGACAATATTAAAATATAAAGTAAAGAGTTAAATAAGAAGTTACAATTTAATATAATGTACTCAGTAAACATACATGTCTAAACGACGTCTAAAAGCTTTCTTTAAGACAATTTTTAGACTTGTATGTGTAAAAAACGTCTTAAAGAAATCTTTTAGACGTCTTTTAGACATGTATGTTTTCTGGATATTGATTAGCGTCTAGGCCCAGTTCCACAACTTCTAGTTAACTTAACCAGCTGGTTATTTCACTAGACTTGACCAATTACATTTGACGTTAAGAATTAATCAGAATTAAACAATTACTATTGGCATTTAATCAGTAGTTAAAGTTATACAGAGGTTGTGGAATTGGGCTTTAGACATATCAGGTGTAGTAAAAAGATATCCATTATTTTTGCATGAGATTGAAGGCTTTAATTACCATAGTTAGAATGATCCGATTTAAGTCAAATATGCGCCGTTTTGTTCGATAACTTGTTGCCATTTTGAAGGTAATTTCATTATGCCTCTCTCATAGAAGCCCTCGTCCTTATTGGCAAAAAATTGAGACAGTCGATTTTCACAAGCCTCTCTTGAAGCGAATTTTTCACCAGCAAAATTGTTCGCCATGGACAGGAACAGATGGTAATCACTTGGTGCCAGGTCCGGACTATAAGATGGATGCATAAGAACCTCCTAACCACGCTCCCGGAGCTTCTGGCGAGTCACTATCGATGTGTGTGGCCTAGCGTTGTCCTGATGGAACACAATTCCTCTCCTATTGGCCAAAGCTGGCTGCTTCTGGGCGATTGCTTCCTTCAGACGGTCCAATTGTTGACAGTACAGTTCCGAGTTAAGAGTTTTGCCGTAGGGGAGCAACTCATAGTAGATAATTCCCTGCCAATCCCACCAAACACACAGCAAAACCTTCCTGGCCGTCAATCCTGGCTTGGCCACCGTTTCCGCCGGCTCACCGCGATTCGACCACGACCGTTTTCGCTTGACGTTGTCGTAAGTGATCCACTTTTCATCACCAGTGACCAACCGCTTCAGAAATGCGTCGATTTTGTTGCGATTCAGCAGCGATTCGCAGATGGAAATTCGGTCCATGAGGTTTTTTTGCGTTAACTCGTGTGGCACCCATACATCGAGCTTCTTTTTGTATCCAGCCTTATTCAAATGGTTCCAAACGGTTTTTTATGCAATCTTTAGCTCTTGGGCAATCGAAACAGTGCTTACATGACGGTCGGACTCGACAATGTCCATGATTTCATCGATATTTTCGACAATTGGCCTTCCAGTGCGTGGTGCATCTTTGACATCGAAATTACCGGAACGGAATCGACGAAACCAAAATTGCGCGTGATTGGCTGTTACAGTATCAGGACCATAAACACTATTCACATTTTCAGCCGCCTGGCTTGCGTTTTCGCCTTTATCGAAGAAAAACTGTAAAATATAGCGTATTTTCTCTTTGCTAGTGTCCATCTTTGACGCGCGCTCAAACAAAACTGAGTCAACTAATCACAAAACTGTCAGAAAAGTTTTTTTAGTACGAAGTCTCATCTTTGTAACGCCATCTAGTGGAACCCGATCGGACTTATACAACGCGAGATATAGATAACTAAAGCCATCTATTGGAAAAATAATGGATTTCTTTTTACTACACCTGATATATATGTAGGCAGTCTGAAAAGTTCTCGACTTGACACATACATGGTATTAGAAACTGTCAAACTATAATTGGAAAGTGGCATCCCTGATATAAACCCATGTAAAATTTTATTCGATCTGTCAAGTCATTCGAGTAGTAGCACCAGTTGAAAAAGCTTTGTGCAAGATGGGTGCCGCATTTGCTAACAATTGACCAAAAATACATTCGAATGCGTATTTCTCAAACGTGTTTGGCACGTTTTAAGCAAAATATAATGGATTTCAAGCGTCGTTTTATAACTGTTGATGAAACTTGAATCCATCACTATACACCAGAGCGAAAAGAACCTTCCGGAATCACATTTTAATGATGGTATTGAATTATTGGAAAAACGTTGGAATAAATGTATTGAAGTTTTAGGAGATTATATTGAAAAACATATTTCACGGCAAAAAAAATTTTCTTTCATTGTTACGCCAAGAACTTTTCAGACTGCCCTCGTAGATTTTTATACTTACTGTTAACGTTATTGGCTCGATCGCCGTCGTGGCCATCGCTGCCGTCGTCGATGTCGCCCCGGTAATTTTTTCAGACACCGCCATCGTAGCCGTCGTAGCTGTCGCGAGCGTCGTGACCATTGTGGCTGTGGCGGGCGTCGTGACCGTTGGGCGGTCTTCGTCGTCATCGTATTAAGCTCGTTCTGAAATAATTCATGAAATATATTTGTTATAAAAAAGCATTTATAATATATATATATATATAATTAATATTTAACGGTTAAATATATATTTACCTCATTCGCCGACATCCTCGCATATGCACTGTCTAACACCTACTAAGCAACTGACATCTACTGACACCAACTAACTGGAAAACATATGCAGCACGCTAGGCACATAGCTGCGGATTGTTTATGATTGCGCGTACGTGCGCGCGTTTTCTGAAGCAAATAAATCGTATAGGAGCACGGTATAAACAACGACAAAAAAACATACGTTATAAAAGCTATCCATGTCGAATCCAAATAATTTATGTCATGTGAATTCATGCACGAGTTACTTACATTAACACAACTTTTTTCACCACAGTTAACTTGTATAAAAGTTGTCAATAAACTTTACAAGCGTTGTTTTTATCATTCGCTTGACGATTTGAAACAAAAGAAGCGCTATAGCACTGCTGTTTAGCGACTCTGTCGCCGAGAATAGTCAATCTGCGTCGCGAGGTTCACAATAACGTTTGTTATAGCGGTGTTTCGCTATCCGTGCTTTGTGATAAGTATTTTGACCTGAGCTACAGTCTTTTTTTCCTTCGTGAGATTAGTGTTTTACAACATTTGTTTCTAAATGATCTTTCAGATCTACGTGATCTGTCTCTTTTGCAACACGTATTACGATTTTTTGCCCAATACCATTATTAATAAATATATTTGTATACGCCTGTATTGGTGTGTATACTTCATTGTATTGGTTCATTTATTCATTCTTTTTTTTCCTTTTACGTGTTGCTTTTTTTTCCTTTTTCTATTTTTCTCTTTATTCTGTCATTTTTAGTTTCTTACTTTTTTACTTACTCTTTTTACATATTTTTTCTCACATATCTAAAATTATTTTTTGCACTGCATTGCAAATAAAAATATAAAGACTATGTTGACTCCATAAGATAGCTTTTATAACAGGTACATGTATAAAGATTGTCAGAATGGAAAATCAACTGGAAAACGATTATTCAAATTCCCAATGCAGAAGGATGCAAGATATAATACATGGATACTTAATACAGGTAGATCTTTCTGCAATAATAATTTTTTATATAGAGGAAATGCGGATAATAGTACGCATTTTTTACATTTAATTAATTGTACACTGTACAATTTGTAACGATACGACATACTTACTCCAAACTAACACTGAATATGAAGTGTTATCTGTTGTGTACTGACACTACTAAAAATTGAAATTGATATAATTGAATTAATAGTGCTTCAAATAATTAACAATATAAAATGCTGCAAATGCGTACTCTTGGACAACCTATGAGATAAGAGTACGCACACGAAGTACAAGGATACGCATTTTTTATTCTATTAATTAAATTAATGAAATTGATTAACTCTTTGCGGTCGGCAGATTTCGAAAAGATCGATAAACATTAATATCTGTAAGTTGATCTAAACATTTTAATCTAGCATCGGGAGGATAGTTTTCTTTCATTATCGCTAGCCTCGTTCGCTGTGCCGCGCGCCAGACGATCATGAATGCCAGCCTGGCGGCACCGACTTCTATGACGACTTGCGAATGCCGCCACTGTGGCGGCATCGACCACAAAGTGTTAAATGTCATCCTGACTTACTGCGGTTACAAATCCTCGCCGTTCTATATTTTTGCGCTTGTATTTTGATGATCTAAAACTAAAAAGAGCCGCCGAACTTCTTAGACCTAACGACGATATCGATATCGTGCGACGCGTAAGCGGTACGCGAGGATGACCGACCGGTCAATGACATATACGCTGCTGCGGCTACACAACGGACCAAAAATGCTCGCGATAACTATTGTCAGGAAATCATTAAAATTTTTTCCTCATTTAATAATTACTTTAAAATATATATGTTTATGTGTGTTTAATGATAATATGACACAAAAATGCGCTCCAGCTGATTTCTTATATAGCGACGGACCTTAGCGGCCCGTGATCGTCGCCTCGGCCGCTAAGCGCGGAACGGCGCACAGTGGGAAAAAACTCATTTTTTGGATAAAAATCTACGGATAGTGCAATTTTGATTGCTTCTTGTACGTTAGAGAAAGAAGCGACGTGGTAACTGTGCGAACCTAGCACGCTGTACTCTTATTTTTTATTTTTTGGGTGTATTGTTGCAGAACTATTTTTTTTTCGTTATAGAGAAATTGTAGAACTATCAAAAGCGCTATTAGAACTCTACTTGTTTTTTTCATATTGATAGTTTGACGTGTTAACTTCACAGACATGCCTTCCCGCTCCTCCACGCGGTCCTTGAACGCTTTATTTAAATTGGTTGTAAGGCCTTCTGAATTTTTATTTTTCATTTTCTCGCGAACAAAATTTTCTTACTCATTATACTTTTACCTAATACTAATGTGCATGAATACTTATCGCTACGAGATGTAGCTAAAAATTATATTTATACGTCAGACCCTTCTTTTGTAAGATGCTACGTTCAAATTGAATATAAGTTTTTTCATAATTAATTCCGCAGCCGTATAATGCTATATGCAAGATTTACAGTCTTGCAAAAGTTCGGAAGAGTCTTCTTGTATAAAAACACGAAAACTGAATGACACAACAAAATTAAGGGCAATGACTAAATGAGTATACGAATTGAGGCGCTGGCCGAAATATCGAAGTTGTAGGCATGTCAAAACAGATCTTGTATATTTGTAAGCATACTGAAGCATTTTGTACAGGGTTGTAGGCACGTTGTTAGCATTATACAGGGTGTTAAATTTCAAACGTTACAGGTAAAAAATCTCGAAAACTATGAAAGATAAAAATAAACTAAAACATGTGTTCCATGATTTCGAAGGGGAAAGAGACTGGCATTATCAGTTTTTTATTTGGAGGGTATTTTCAAGGTCAGTTGAAGGTAAATTTAATTTTTTTAATAGAAAGCTCAATTTTTCATTATATCTTCTTTTTCTACCAATTAATTTTAACAACTTTTGTCTGAATTATTTTTTATTTCCTTAATATTTTTTGAAATATTTAAAGAAAACTTGGTAACTTTCAACATTTAATTTACGATATCTCGGTAACAATTCGACAAAAGAAAAAATAGTATTAGACTTAATACTTTATTTATTATCAAGAATATATTACTATAATAGTGCCCAAACTTTTGTTAACTTATCGACCTTTGGAAATTTCAAAATTATTAAATTAACAAAAGTTAGGGCACTATTATAATAATATATTCTTGAGATTAAATAAAGCAAGAAAGTCTAGTACCACTTTTTCTTTCGATATTCGTAAGTTAAATATTGAAAAAGTTATCTAGTTTTCCTGAAATATCTCAACAAATATTAGGCAAATAAAAAAATGTCTTAGACAACAGTTGTTCAAATTAATTGGTAGAGAAAAACAGTGTAATAAAAAATAGGAGTTCCTATTTAAATTTTTCAAGTTGACTTCCAAATGACCTTGAAGGTCATGGCCAAGATCAAATTCAAGGTCACCATCAAGTCCGTTACTCAATTTTCTACAACTTTTGTATATAAAGTTTTTCATGAAAGCTTAATCCTGCAAAATTATTCGGGAGGTCCGGTATTTTTAAGACAGTCTGTATATCGATGGATTCGATATTAAATGCTCTTAAATTTTTGTCCTTATAAAAACTTAAAAATTTGCAAAGGTAATGGAGAGGAGGGAGGAGATCTCACGAAGGAAATCTCACGAAGGAAAAAAAGACTGTAGCTCAGGTCAAAATATTTATCACAAAGCACGGATAGCGAAACACCGCTATAACAAACGTTATTGTGAACCTCGCGACGCAGATTGACTATTCTCGGCGACAGAGTCGCTAAACAGCAGGGGGTAAAATATTGCATTTTGAAACATTTGAATAGACCGGTGGAAAGAGTATAAAATATTATAAAACTTTTGTCTGAAAGACTTTTTCATATACTTCATATTTTAAGAGATGTTAAATAAAAACGAAAATGTCCGTTTTTTTCAAAGAGTTTCGATCTCTAAACATCGAGATAAGCACATAAAAGAATACGTATCTAATGCTTTTTGATGCTCTATAAAATATCCAATGCCCATCAAAATCAATGAAGGACGGCCCCGACTCTTTCCTTGTCAGCGCGCAACAAGGCGATCATAATCAGTGATAGCAAATTTCAGCCTAGCGGCTCCGCGGCCACACGCAATGGGCTAGAATATCTTTAAATGTGGCCAGAAGTCAATATCCGCATTGATCTAAAATAAAGTTATTATTGTATTTAGAATGTTTGAAAATAGTTATAAGAGAAATGTTATGTTGATTGGATTGTTTTCGTATCAGTCTTAATAGGATGAAATTATAAAATACATTAATACTTTTTTTCATTTTCTTTACTTTATCATTCATGTATTAAACAATTATATATTATTTTTTGGACCTTTAGTTAACGAATATGATGAGCGAAGATCAAGAATAAAAAATATATAAAATTGGAGGAAATAAAAATAAATTATAATATATTACATTCTCTTTTATTACATTATTACAAGTATATTAATCATAACTACTCATTTCCGATTTACCATTCCCCGTAATTTCACTTTCAAGAAAGAGCATTCTAAGTTATATATGCTGTTTATGATATATATTTTAAGAAAAAGTTTTTGCTACTTTTGTTACATAACGTAAGCAAACATATGTAAACATTATATATTATTTTTTGGACCTTTAGTTAACGAATATGGTGAGCGAAGATTAAGATGTAAACAAAATAATGTAAAATTACGATATATGCGAAAATAATGTAAACAAATGATCGACTATATCTAAAGGCCCGTACTATTACACTGCGATATTAATCAGCAAGTCAGTACGGACCTTTAGATATAGTCGATCATTTGTTTACATATGTTTGCTTACGTTATGTAACAAAAGTAGCAAAAAGTAGCAAAAACTTTTTCTTAAAATATATATCATAAACAGCATATATAACTTAGAATGCTCTTTCTTGAAAGTGGAATTACGGGGAATGGTAAATCGGAAATGAGTAGTTATGATTAATATACTTGTAATAATGCAATAAAAGAGAATGTAATATATTATAATTTATTTTTATTTCCTCCAATTTTATATATTTTTCATTCTTAATCTTCGCTCACCATATTCGTTAACTAAAGGTCCAAAAAATAATATATAATTGTTTAATATATGAACGATAAAGTAAAGAAAATGAAAAAAAGTGTTAATGTATTTTATAATTTCATCCTATTAAGACTGATAAAAAACAATCCAATCAACGTAAACATTTCTCTTATAACGGTAACATTTCTCTTATAACTATTTTCAAACATTCTAATACAATAATAACTTTATTTTAGATCAATGCGGATATTGACTTTTGGCCACATTTACACATTTACAGATATTCTGGCCCACTGTGTGCCACGGTCGAAAGGGAAACGCATAGAAACGAAAGCCGCGTACATGTGCCACATGTATGCGGCTTTCATTGCGCGTTTCCCCTTCCACCGTGAGACGCGGAGCCGCTAGGTTGA